GGCAAGATGACCCGGACTGCCGTAGCAGAAGCAGGTGCGTCGAATGTCACCACGGAGCCGGGCCCGGTCTACCTCCATGGGAATTGGATGGGCAACGGGGGCGGGCGCCGGGCGGGCAGCGAGGGCCGGTGCTACAGCAGGGAGCACCGGGGCACAAGGACGGGGGGCAACAGCAGGCGCTCGGGGAGGAGGCGCTGGGTGGCCTCGAGAAGCTCTGGCAGCGAGTTCCGCATTGTACTGCCGGAACGCACGGACACACCATTCGGCGTAGTCGGTGAGGCTGGGAGGGTTACCAGAGGTGGTGATGGCTTGGTTGATCCTCGGGTCCAAGCCCGTCCTATATTTGGTCACCTTGACCAAGTTGTCGGTATAACCAGCAAGGTTGAGGAGGTCATCGTACTCGTCCATGTACTTGAATACGTCGCGGGAGCCCATATAATACTGATGGGTTTCCAGTCGCGCCAAGGCGTGGTCTTGCTCATTCTCCTCGACGAATCGGAGCTTGAACTCGGTGACGAACACAGCCCAAGTGGGGAACGGGAACGGGGTGCACTTGGACATGCGCTCGGACCAGGAGGCTGCTGAGTCCTTGGACATGTAGGACAGGGCAAAGCGGACTACCTTTTCTGCCGAGACTGCCCCATTCACGAAGAACGCCTCTGGAAGCAGACGCCAGTACTGCTTCACTGAGTGCAAGAAGCTCTTGCCCAGGGTGCGATCCCCATCGAAGGAGAAGGGAGGATTTGGACAGATAAGGGGGCACGCAGGGCTGGCACCAGTAGAAACACCTGGACCCGCTGCCGGAGCTGGGGCAGGGGCAGGGGCAGGGGGTTGTTGTTGTTGAGAGATGAGGCAGGTGAGTACGGCCTCAATGTTCTGTATGCTGGTCTCCAGAGCAGACAGCCGCTGCTGTTCGTTGTCATCCATGCTCATCGGATCTGCTCGTGGAGGGGAGGAGGGGGCAAGATAGGAGGTGAGGGAGTGGTGGTCTTGGTCGCTCGTCGACTCTTCTCCACTGGCGTCAGCGTCGAACCTCGCAATCTTGTCCGGTTATCCCTGGGAACACGGTTTCTGCTGTAAGGGCAACCTCGAGACCCAATCTCAGAGTTCTGGCAAGGGAGAATCCAAAGTGTCAATAGTGGTAGCTAGGTACAAGACCGGCATACCTGGCAAGGGAGAATCCAAAGAGAAACCGTGTTGGGGATTCTCCTTGCCAGGCGCCACTATTTATATGATACAAGAACAATAGAGCGTGCAGCAACAAACAAGGAACAATAGGAACAATAAGTCAACGGCCATGACAGAACAATGGGATGCAGAGACAATAGGAACAATGGGCATCTGACCATGTGCTTTATCAGAGAGAAGCGCTTGGCGTGGCAGTCCGGGCCGCGGCACGTGACAGCTGACAGGTCACGCAAGTGCGATCACATGCCAGATCAAAGGCAGAGCAGTCTGAAGCGGGGGTTCCCCTGACACTGGTCTTAGATAGCATAGCTACTATGCAGTTGTACAGGGCTTTACTAAGCATCGTTGTAGACAGTATAAGTAGTGCGTTGTTTCTTTGTATTGGAGAGCTTTCCCTGGACTGTGAATCATTCTCATATCAGATTGTTTTGTGCAATTTGCGTGTTGTGTGATTCCACCCTAAGAAGTTCTGCTACCCCTGCCCGGTCGCGACAAGTTGCTCCCTGAGCACTTGCAGCTACTGTGATTTGAGTTTGAGTTTTGAGATATCAGAAAGTCGGATTCGCCGCTTCTGGTTTTGTCGCGGCATTTAGTATTGTTGCCTTTGGGCTTTGTTGAGATTGTTTCCATACCTCCAGTTTGGCAGTGCGTCAACTAGTTGTGCTTGGGTAGTTTTGGTCAGTCGTTGCTATATATATATCCTTGTTGTCGACTCCGTCTTCCGCGACTATTGGATCCTGCGTCTATTGAGAGTTGTGATACTGGTGTTCTGTTCATCCTGAAGCCCTTGCATCTTTCACACACTGAGAAGCTAATTACGAGGAGTGTGAACGTGTTTATATTTGGGTTTACTTTCACAGTAGATTCACTTGTGAGCGCGCCCTCAGCATTTCAGCAGAAGCTCTGTTTTGCAAAGAAGAATTGAGGGAAGCGTAAATACATCACCGGGGCAGCCTGTCTACTTACAACAGAGGAGACAATCCAAGAGGGAGTCAATAATGAGTGGGCACCAATGCCCACACAATTGCATCATGTACTGAGTCACATTGAGATGTAGATGTCCAAAAATGGGCAGGATTATGACGGTTCTATAATTCTCCCACCACATGTGTTTGATTGGGATACTGAAGGATCTCTTTCTTGTTGGCTCAATACTGCACTGGCACAGTGCAGCAGCCTTAGACGCTCACAGGGTCAAGGACGGAAGGGATGTGCTTTGATTGGCATAGTCTACATGCCCAGCAAACCAATTTTGGCTCAAGGACGCAGACGGGGTGGTGGAACAACACATGGCTGTGGCGCAACTGGAACCAAAACCAGAGGGCATGCAAGAGGTGGAGGAGGCAAAGGTTGTGGTTCCAGAGGCTGTGGACATGGCCAGCTACAGGCTGGGAGTAGCAAGTTGAAGGAAGAACTGGATGATACGTCTGAGGAGGATGAAGAGAGCTTGGATGGATCTTCAAACACCTACAGCTCGGACATGGATAGAGAAAGCAAGTATTCACAGAGCGACCACATCTCAGATTTGGGCAGCATTGATTCCACAACACATTAACTCCATGATCCCAAAGCCTCCCCACCACCACCAAGCCAAACAAGTTCTCTGCATTCACCCGTTGTTGCTTCGAATATTGCCAGAAACCTCGAAGAAAACCTCGCTGATAGTAACAATGGTCCAGAGAATGGTGACGATTCAGAAGATGAGGTTGATGAGACAGTTGTGGTTGGTATCAACAGGCATTGATGGGTCTGGGGACATTGGGAGTTCATGGTGATCTGGCAGGATGGAGATATCACTTGAGAACCACTCATTAACATTGACGACTGCAAGGCAATGTTGATTTACATCGAAAATTACAGGAGAACTGACCCGCTGAACCTCCCAAAGCAAAAATACCTTATAGACTCAAAATTGGTAGTGACAATTGGTTAGCACAGATTGCCTTTATACTATTTAAAAGCCTCTGAGCACCATACAAGTAGTGTAAAAGATGTGTGTCAACTGCATTGTGTTGAAATGATGATATGTCCCACATCAGGATACTTTCCCTTTTGGGACTTTGGTCAGAAAATATTCCTGGCACCTCCCAGACTGATAATTAAATGGTGCAACCTTGTCGAGGCTCTTACTAGGAAGCATGCCCATGGATTATGGCAGATATATAAGGGATTTGACTGTACATAGGTACACTAGAGGCAATACTTCCTTAGGTTTCCCACATCATGTGCCTTCACAGTAGATATATTGGGGCCCATTATGTGTGGTATTGGGCTGCACTTTTTTGCGCAGCCATAGGGCTAATATTCTTGGTGTGCATTGTGATCTTTTTTTCACAAAGATTCAGCTGAGTAACGCACTAAAACATTTTGCCACTCTTGTGGGCAACATTATTGTGCCCAATATGCTGATATTTATGCCTCCAAATGAGTGTCAAGAATTTGGTCCCAATATTTCCTTGATCTTTGAAACATTCTTTGCCGCAATAGTTCATAAATTGGGGTACCTTTCACTGCGGGGGGACTTATTTTTTTTCTGTGGAAAATGCATGACAATCTAGAAGTCTGATTTTCACTGTTATGTTTTCAGACAAAAAATATATCATCCAGTAGCCTTTTGCAAGGCCAGAGATGCAAATTGGGGCCAGGATCAACTGATTCTTCCAGTGGTTTAATCTGTTTTCAGTGAAAGAAGATCATCTTTTCTTTGTTTCTATTTTCAGTGAAAATCACCGTCTATTCCAGTGAGAATCGATCAAAAAAAGGTGATCTATCTACAGTTCTGTTTTCGGGAGGAATAGATGTCTATTCATGGTAGAAGTCGAACTGTAAATCGACATCTATTTTCAATATATATTTTTCGTCTGAAAACATAACAGTGAAAATCAGACTTCTAGATTGTCACGCATTTTCCACAGAAAAAAAATAAGTCCCCCTGCAGTGTTTGAGACATTACATTGATTTCAATATCACAATGTATTTCTCATTGAACCATTTTCACTGCAATATCAAAAATATAAATTTTTCATTGTGGGCCACATTAATCGCGATCTGCCAGAGTGAGTATGCCTTTTCCTTGCCCTTTGATAGCATCATCAGATAAGTTGATCAATACTTGAGACAAATTGAGAATGTGCCAGATGTATTCCAGTTGAGAAATCATCTTGGCAACATATTCCTGCTCTGCATTTGTAATGTTTTCATGCATGTGAACAACACAATCCAGCCAACAGCAATCAAACGGTGATCCATTTAAGTTTTCATTGCTCAGAAACATATCTGAAAGTGCTCTCTTTTATTTGAACACAATGTTGAGACACAAGGGCCGTAGCAGTGCAGGTCGCTTCGATTCTCCAGAGCAGGATCACGCAGCTTCAGAAAAACCTGTGTCGCTGCACCGCATCAAATTCCCATGAGAACCACATGGCACTTTGAAGATTCCCAACCAACGTGAGATGATAACAGGCAACTGAGATACAATCACGGAAAATAAAACCGCCCGTAAACCCGACTCTCTGGATGTGTCGATGTGCTGCAAGCGTACAGAGTTTCTTGAAAGATTCAATGTTCGCGGTGGATTGAACAGCTCACCACATCATACCCGAGAACCTGATCACATCGTCTGCCCTTTAGTTTTAACCTTGCTGAATGCGGCCCCTGAGAACGGGGCTGCGGGCGGAGTTAGATAGAAGGAAAGCCGAAAGATGAACCAAGGCCAAGACTAGTAATGTCCGACCCAGCGTGGGGGCGGAATGACAGAAGACGTCAAAAAGAATATAAACAGATTTGATCCTTCCGAAGACAGAAGAAAGCTCATGCTGAGCATCATCACCAACCTTCTCCTCCTTTTCCTGGTGACAGACCCTTCTCAGGCGTCTATCTACTCCGGCCCCAGTGCCATCAATGACCTCAAGCACTCGCCAGACTTCATCATTGTTGGGGGTACGGGCCAGACCGCACCTCAAATTTCGGTTCATTGAGAGCTAACTTCGATTGATTAGGTGGAACAGCAGGCTCTGTGGTTGCCAACCGACTCTCGGAGAACCCCAATGTCACCGTGCTGGTGCTGGAAGCGGGGATCTCGTGAGTGATATTATTTGCATGGAAGGATGGATGGCAAATGGATATACCAGAAACGTGGGGATTCTCAACATAGAGGTCCCCTTCTACTGCGTCCAAGCATCTCCCCAGACATCCGTTGATTGGAACTTCACGACTGTCCCCCAATCCGCACTCAACAATCGATCAGTGGCGTATCCGCTGAAATGCTGAGGGCGTGCTCACAAGTGAATCTACTATGAAAGTAAACCCAAATATAAACATGTTCACACTCCTCGTAATCAGCTTCTCAGTGTGTGAAAGATGCGAGGGCTTTGGGGTGGACAGAGCACCAGTATCACAACTCTCAATAGACGCAGATCAATAGTCGCGGAAGACGAAGTCGACGACAAGAATTTATATATAGTAAACAATGGTGTCTCAACCAATATCTTCTATACAAACACAACCAACACTAATCCAATCACAACCAACAATATAACAAGTCAGAACTTAATACGAAGTATTAAGATCCCTTGTAGCGACAGCGTCCAGTTGGTGACGCAAAGCCCGAATATCAAGTCGATGCACTGCCAACCGATACAACCAATACACTGAGTCGACGCACTGCCAACTAGTAGAATCAAAATGTCAAGTCAACGCACTGCCAACTGACACAACCAAAAGTACTGAGTCGACGCACTGCCAACTAGTAAACCAAAATGCCGCGTCAACGCACTGCCAACTAACAGCCAATATCCAATGTCCAAAACCCGAGCACAACTTGTCGACGCACTGCCAAGCAAGAAGTGTGGAACCAAAGTTCTCAAGTCGACGCACTGCCAACTGACCAAAACAACCCGAGCACAACTAGTCGACGCACTGCCAAGCTAGAGGTGTGGAACGATCTCAACAAAGCCCGAAGGCAACGACACTAAATGCCGCGACTAAACCAGATGCGGCGAATCCAACTTTCTGATGTCTCAACTCAAACTCAAATCACAGTAGCTACAAGTGCTCAGGGAGCAACTCGTCGCGACCGGGCAGGTGTGGCAGAACTTCTTAGGGTGGAATCACGCGACACACAAATTGTACAAAACAATCTGATATGAGAGTGATTCACAGTCCAGGGGAAAGCTTTTTAATACAAAGAGACAACGTGCTACTTATACTGTCTACGACAATGCTTAGTAAAGTCCTGTACAACTGCATAGTAGCTACGCTATCTAAGATCGGTTGCCTTTTAGGGTAATTGAAAAGTTGAACGATCGGACAGGCCCTGAGTGATCAGGACCCCGCCCCATAGTCCATATGATACTTTTGATTTGAGCCAACTCACCGCGTCATACTTTTGGAATACGACGTATTGGATTGGCCAACGGGTATGTCTTGGCAAGTGAGACCAACGTGGGCGCCCCAAGAAGCCGTATGGCCCTAGGCACGCCAGTCGTCCCCCACATGGCTCGGTTCACGGATCTAGCCATGTCGATTTTAGTGTGTTTGGGTATGGACGCGACTCGCCGTGACGCTTGGAAGTGTCACCGCGACGCGTCCACAATGTCCCGTGATCAAATGGATCCTGACATGTGACAAGTCGTCGCCGTAGCACGATCTGAGGAAACGTCCAACTCAAAACCGGGAGTTGCCGCGACAAGATTGGTTCAATCTCGTAACGCCAAGTCCTGTCCAGTAGTAGTCGTATTATTGAGAACGTCGCACATTGCTCAGCCCTTCAGCCCAAGTTCCCATCTGCAGAGAATGACCCTTTTTGAGAAGTCGACGCAACGAAAGATCCCTTTTTGGGGGAATGGTCGCGGTCCAAGCGTTCGTCACTAATGGCCCTGAGCCTGGTGTAGACTCATAAGACCAGTTCCACAGTAGTGGTCTGACTGCCTTGCTATCGTCGACACTATCCACAGTCGTCGACTGGGCAGTAGACCCATAAGTCCTACTGAGCGCAACACTGTCGACCGCGACACGATACACCGAGTGGTTCAAGAGTAAACTCTGTAAAAAGCGCAAAAATACGCCCTTACAGAGCTGGTGCAGAGCGTGTCTGGTAGCCAGCCTATCACCGCGAGGCTTCGTTCTGGGTGGAAGCTCATCGACCAGTGCGTGTCTCTCCGCTTTCCTCCCTCAGTATTGATCTTTCATCCAGATTACATGTTCTATACGCGGGGAACAAGAGACGACTATGATAGGATTGCGAATGTGACAGAAGACGAGGGCTGGTCTTGGGATCACCTCTTTCTGTATATGCTCAAGGTGCGCTTGATTTAGTTTGCTGCGTGGATCTAGTCGTGGTGAAACTGTTTTGTTTGTTCAGAGCGAGCGGTGGACGGCACCCTCGGACGGCCACAACACAACTGGCCAGTTCGATCCTTCCGTGCACAGATCTTCAGGCATCGAATTCCGTGGCCCTGAGCGGTTTCCTGTCTGACATCAATTCTAGAGTCATTGCCGCAACAAAAGAGGTAGCGGGAATGCCGTTCAATCTGGACATGAACTCGGGCAATCCACTGGGGATAGGTGCGTCCTGAGACTGAGCGTTCTGAAATTCAGGCTGGAAGAAAGAACAGGATGGAAGCAAGCCATCACAACAAATGGTCTCAGAAGCAGTGCCGCGACATCCTATCTGGCGCCCAACTTCATCAACCGACCCAATCTTCACGTTGTCCTCAACACTCAAGTCACACGCGTTCTTTCGCATAAAGACGCGTTGTCGTTCACGACCGTGGAGTACATCACAGCCCAAGGTCAGTATCGGCATGCTCATTCAAGCCCATGCCGTCTGACCATGCATCAGGGAACCGATCCACCATTACAGCAGGAAAAGAGGTCATCCTGTCTGCCGGCGCTGTAGGCACTCCGCATATCTTGCTTCACTCGGGGATCGGGGATGCCCACGCACTTTCAAAGCTTGGCATCTGGCCCGTGCACAATCTACCCTCTGTCGGCCAAAATCTCACGGACCATCCTGCCCTGCACACGTTGTGGCTGGTGAACTCGACCAACACGTACGAGACCCTGAAACGGAACGCCACCGTCGCTGTGGCGGCACTCGCAGAGTGGACTCAGATGAAGCAGGGTCCACTGGTCACTGGCCCCGGAAGCCACATTGGCTGGGCACGTGTCTCAGGCAACGATTCGACAATCTTCGACAACACCGCTGACTCCTCTGCGGGCCCAACCTCGCCGCACTTCGAGCTCATCTTTGCGCCTGGTTCTTTGGGACCTCCCCCACCGACTGGAAACTTGATGGGCTGCACTTCGATTGTTGTTTCTCCATCATCTCGTACGTGTTATATCTTTCAACTATTCTGCTTCCTCAATCACAGATTCTAGGGGGTTCAATCACACTCCGATCTTCCGATCCGCTAGATCCGCCAATCATTGATCCGGCTTTCTTGACTGCTGACTATGATATGGCAATAATGCGCGCGTCAATGAGGATGGCCACACACACCGAGGGATTGCGAATATCACGGCCCATAAAGAATCAATTATATTCTATATATTGGGGCATAAAAAATGAAGTGATCTGATATGTGACATATTGGGCACCCGGATCATACCCGGCACCCGATATCTGTGGTATCAGGTCATTTTTGCTGTGACATGTGACATATCAGGTCAGCTTCTTTTTGGGGTCACAATATATGGAATATAATTTATTCTTTATGGGCCGTGTTATGTGTGATCCCCCGGTGTGACACGTTTTGCAGCTGCACCCGCCTTCTCTGACTACGTCATCACACAGCTGGGTTACAATGCCACAGCCACCGACGCCGATCTCGACACGTTCATCCAGGAACAAGTGGGGTCTATATTCCATCCTGTAGGTACTGCGGCAATGACCAAGCGGGGAGCGGATTACGGTGTTGTGGATCCTGATTTATTGGTCAAGGGATTGAAAGCGTTAAGAGTGGTAGATCTGTCCGTTTTGGTTAGTGAGCAGGCCTTGATCCAGTATCGACGGGCAATTGCTGACAATCGCGATGGCCATTTGTTCCTGCTGCACACACCCAGGCGGCGGCATATTTTATCGGGGAACGAGCTTCTGATCTGATCAAAAATCAGTCCCGGTTTTGAGGCATGAAAGATCGGTCATGAATGTTTTTCACCTAGAAAGTACATGCAGACCATTTCCCTAGGATACATAACTCTCTTCAAAATTGTTTCTTTGATTTTAGATCATTTGAAGGTGTTCATTTTCTTCGTCAATGGCACCACTCAAGCGTCGGGCTGCACAATCACTCCCTCTGGCGTCTGGCTGTGCTTGCTACCTAGCTTCCGCGGGGTGAAATTATCGGTACCCTTTAGCCACTGCTTGATAAGTTTCGCGAGTCCAAAATCGGATTCGCAGCAGAAGGGGGCAAGTAGAGATGACTTTATTATTCTTCAGTGCAGCTCCAGTCAAGAAATGATGACGAAACTCAACGACTGGGAGATCAAATCTGATGTCGGATCATTGCGGGTAACCCAGTTGTCAACAACTCGCTTGTATTCATTACTCGGGGGTCTATAGAAGGTGGGTCCGAAAATCTGCAGGATCCAAACCTGACATTTGAGGCTGGTGAACGAACATAACTCGGGGGATGAACGGAGTCCATTGGTCAGTAATCCGACATGCTTTCCTGTCTCAACTACAGCTGGAATATGACTTTCAGCCAGAAAGCGGCGACCGAGAAGGACCCTTTTGGCTGATGCAGAATGCAGAATGCACGTGGACGTCGCGGAGTCCACTCGTGGATTGTGATGCGGTCCTCGTTTCCGGTCGCCATTCTTATTCACTCAGTCACATTCTTCCCCCAGATCGTCCCTGATCCCGTTTTCATGGCAAAGCGACAATCGCAGATGTAGATCTCTGTTAGTCTCTGTTCAAGACCATCAGGACTTGTTTCCCAGCCAGAAGCCATGGGAGGATTGAGCGATTCCTCAAGACATCATTGATCTTCCCATCCGATCTATACTTTAGATTGTTAACACGACAGAATCACGCTCGGTAGTCGGTACTGCCTTTGCCACCCCCTATCAGGCCAAGCTCACATCAGCTGCCAGCGTCGCTTCACTCCCCCCACGATGCCCGGGAAACTCACGTTCACGCACAAAGAATGTCAGGACTGCCAGATCGTGGACGAAACCGGGACTCTGTTGTACACACTAAGCACAACGAAAGGTTTCTTCCGGGGCCGCAAACTCACCACTATTACTGCAGCGCGGGGAGGGACGACGGGGCTGATCGACTGGCGAGGAAAGGAGTTCATGATTGACGGCGTGGGTCGGGAGTGGGCCGGACTAAAGGAGCGGCCCGGGCTCCTTGGCTCGTAAGTCGAATCTGTGAGCCGGTGTAAAGAACTGACTCGCGATCCAGGGCACGAGAATGGCATTGGAACGAGTTTGCATATCGCTTGGAGTGGCACGATAGACATCACTCGCTAGTGGCAAGTCTCTAATCATATCAGAGACTTTCAATCCCCGCAGCTCATTCATTCAAGGCGACGCCGCTGTCCAGCTCCGCGTCGGGCTCGGCCCTGTTTACACCCTATATACAGCACTTTTTCGAGAAGAATGAGAAGCCGACCATTACCTTTCCGGGGGCGATGCAGAACGAGACACTCAGGATGTTCCTGCTCATGGCAATGCTGGAAATGGAGATGAAAAGGCAGGATGTTCGTCGATTGGCCAGCATCTGTGTCAAAACATTGATGAGTTCTTTTATCAGGCGGCCAAGCGCAATCGACAGAATGCGGCAATGGCTGGGTCTGGAGCAAGTGGTGCTACTGCGGGACCTTGAAAAACATGTGGTTATAAATATAGTTGTGTCTCAGCTCGGAGGACCATGCAAGATTGCGAATGTTGTGTACTTCGGTGCGGTATACATAGATTCAGCTATGAAACAGATCAACATCAATTTCTCCAGATTGAGAGCAAGCCCCAGTCGGCGAGTTTGACGGCCGACCACCACTGGTACACCCTTGTGTAATGCATACTTGGTTCTACGTCATTCATTCTCCTCGGTCACATTTTGTTCCGTGGTCACGGCGGACGTGACCATCGTCTTCGGCTCCGCGCGCCGACTCGTCTGGCCGAAACATCCTTCGTGATACACCTCTAATCCTCTCCTCCAAATCAGGTACATCCGAGTCGACGCCCCTCTATCTATATCTTGTGACACCCACGCGATCTGGAGGCCGATGCGAACGAATCCCATCCCGATTCAATAAAGCCGAGGCGGTGTAAGAACGGCGCAGATACTTACTTGGCCACAGCCGTGAAGGATACGAATCACATCCGCAGCGGCGAGTGACAGATACAGTTTCGGCCGCTCCAATATTTAGGAGCGGGGGCGCGCTAAGTTGACTTACCTCTGGTTCCTTCACCCCCTATGGCCCGCTTTACAGGCGAAGCAGGCGCAGCCCTGGTCTTCCTCATCGGTGTCCGTCTCTCATGTCCTTCTCTACTACCTATGCTGATAGTTCTCACCCCGCGTAGTATCTGGGGATCTTCGCATGGATGCTCTTCGCGTACCTCACCCACCGCATCAAGTGGCGGTCCCGCTACTCACTTTTGTTCTTCCACGTCACGATTCGCCTTGCCTCGCAGGGATGTGGGATCGCATTCGGAATGCTGGGCTTTGCGAATACGAGCGTGTTTCTGGCCTTCTTGATCCTCGGAGCTGAGGGGTACTTCTCCTTGGTACGCGACCTGATCACCAGCTCCCTGATTGCGCCCTGACAACCCGGCCTAGGTGCTCTGCGCCTTCCGTTTCGTCATCTCCTGGCACCAGCACAATCTTCCGAACGGTGAATCTTGGCTGGAGCCGCGGGACCCACCCAACACCAACAAATGGCGTAAAGGCCTGATCTTCGCGTTGCTCGGGCCGCTCGCGTTCGTTATCTATCACGACAACCCGATGGTCTTCTTCCACTCCGCGCTCATTGTCGCCAACGTCGCCATCGTTGTCGGCGGCTCGTACCTCGCCGGCGCAGACTACACGGACCCGAACTCAGCCGACACACGTAACAGGATGCTTGTGTCGCGCATCTCGCGGACGGCAGGGCAGGGAGTCTTTCTCGCAGGCAATGCCCTGTTGCTGGGTATCATCCTGATTACGATGCGGAATAACCGCCGGGATGGCGACGCTCGCCGGCGGCCTGGGACGGTCCATCCGACGCTTGTGCTGCTTCTTGTGGCATGGTTTCCGCTTATCGTGCGTGGAATCTTCGGAATATTGCAGGCTTGTGTATGGAGCGTGAGTGATAAGACTTGGTCTCTGAAACTTACAGTTGACTGACGATCGTGCGGCAGTTGTCATATTATAATCGTTCGTTGTCACTAACCTAAATCGTGCACGGGCGCTAATCCCACACAGCGGACAACTATGACGCGGGAGGCTTCACACCTCGATTCACAGCGATTGAATATGTTCTGGGAGTGTTCACCGAGTGGCTAGCGTGAGTGCCATCAGCCTTGTGGACCGAATTCGGTCGCTCAATCTCCCGTTCAGCTGTATACTGCTGAATCTGACATATCTTACATCAAGAAATGATCCTCGTAAGCGTGATAGAGTTGAGGAGAGAGAGTTCGGAAAAGAATCCAGTAATCAAACATAACTGAGTATATGTTACATGTGTCCCTATTTATATCAATTCTGGATGGGCCTGAAATACTCCACCATCCACAAACGCTCGATCTCCGCACACGTTTCTTGAGTGACATCTACCCATTTTCCCTCGCGCAGCTCGTCGTGCCAATCATGGTCATCGTAAGAGATGATGTCAAAGCGTTCTCCGGCCACCCTCCTGCCCATGGATTCGGGCGCACAGATGCGCGCCAGAGCGATGTTCCCTAGTGTCAGGTGCTTGTGAACTTGCGGGTCTTGCACTGATCCCATGGCTCGCTCGAGTAGCCGCTCCTGGACGTACTCCTTGCGATCTAGATTGCGCAGTACATGGGGACGTTTTGGGACAATGAGACCAGGGGGTGCACACGCGGAATGGGATGTCAGGGGACATAGGATGTGTAGAACGTGCATGTCGCGCTGGATGCAGTCTAGATTGTCGCCGAGGACGTCAACAAACTGTGGTCGAGCGAGAGTCACCTCCTTGTATCTCGTGCGTGCGGATTCGAAATGGGCAAAGAAACCAGTCATTTGGCGTCCCATCCATGATGTGTCAAACAGAAGGTGTTGTTTCAGATGGGCGTACAGTCGTGGACGCAGAAATTCAAAGAGTCTCTGGCATGTGAGGCCAGCAAAAACGAGATCCAGCATTTGCGGCAGGCAATCCAGAATTTTGTGAACGATCTCCGGGGGCAGAGCGCCGACGAACCAACTGTGTATAAAACCTCCGAATCAATGATGGTAAGACGCAAGCTGAAACCCGTACTGTTGTATCGAGCGCGGCGGAACAATATAACGTTTACACTGGCCTCCGTCTCGTTTCCGCTCGAACAACAGCGCTCCTGGTATGAGACTTCCGATGACCTCGTTCAAGGGAGAGAACTCATATCTGAATAGCCGGTTCTGGAGATCGTTCGCAATCCTTTGGTCGAACAGAGTGGTTCGAAGGAGGCCGAGATGTGAGGAACTAGCATGCTCTGGAACGGTGATGCCACAGTAGAGGTCCATGACGTCTCAGGACAAAGAGTTTTCATAATTTTGATCATAAGGCTTGTATTACGAATGTCTCGGGATAGGGCGAGTCACCTCTAAGAATAGGAGTGCCACTTGAAAGATCATGCGGAGATGCTGTCCATGCAGTTCCGAAGTCGGATTACCACTAGCAGGTGAAGGACTATCTTCTTGCAGTCCGCATGATCAGAATTTCAACAGCATGAGATGCAAAATTACCAGCATATTTGACTGGAACTTCGCCCACCTGCGCCAGTAACTGTGTTGATCATGAAACAGGCCAATGGCAACGACTGAATGGATGTGATTATCCCCGTTGATACTGCCGGATGTACTGTAAATATCAATGTCTATACATCCTGGAGTCGGCCAGAGGAGAATGATCTCTGCAGACTAAGCCGAATAGGGGCCAGAATTTAGGGGTGGATGGATAGAGTTAGTACAATTCATCATGATCGGAACTGTCTGGCTTGCCGGCATGTCTATCATGCGGTAATGGCCGGCTGAGAAAAGATACACCCTGGCTGTTATAGTGAATGAAACGCAGCCATTTGATCCCCAGCGAGTCGATACGCTTTGGGCGAAAGAAACTGAATGCCCTGGGCCTTGTCAGCAGCACAAGACACAATGTCGAAGCAAACGCAAGCATATTCGATCTCACTTCAATGCTGTGTCATCAGTGTTCAACTTCCTGCGGTAAAATGTGTTGAAATGGGACGCAGCTCTTTCTCCCACCTGCCTGCAGATTTCATAGAAGCCAACCATTCGAGTCGAAAAGGAAGATAGACCAGGGTGTATGCGGACGAGCACGACAAAGGTACGTGAAAAGGGTGAGGAACAAGGGTCAGCACGAAGGATGCAGGTGGGTCGCGAGTCGCATGCAGAAATGAAAACACCTGACCTTGACGGATCTTCAATATCTTATACCTTCTCTGGCGTGAGAGGAACAGGAATTGATTTCACAAAGTCTACCATCTTAGGGAGTCCAGGAAATGAGCGTATGCATGCATGAGTTCCACCAAACCCCGTCGGGCCTCACAGGCTGTGCTGAGCTTTGATCAAATCGGAGGCCCTTTCTCCGATGAAATATGCCGCGGCTTGAGTGTGCGCAGCAGGAACGAATGGCTGAAAACACAGTTCAGCGACTGCCCATCAAGATGTGACCGAGGCCCGTCGACATACCAAGACGGACAAATCAACAACCCGCAACGCCTCCAGTCCCTTCACCAACAAATCCGGATCCACAACACCGTAGTGCGCTCCTCGCTTGGTCATCGCCGCGGTGCCAACGGGATGGAATATGGACCCCGCTTGGTCGCGGATGAACGTGTCCAGCTCGGCGTCGGTGGCCGTGGGGCTGTAGCCCTGCTGTGCGATGACGTAGTCGGAGAAGGCAGGCGCCGCGGCGAAGCGGGTGGCCATGCGCAGTGAGGCGCGCATTACTGCCATGTCGTAGTCAGTCTTGAGCAAAGCCGGGTCGATTACCGGAGGAACGAGCGGGTCGGAGGAGTTGAGTGTGATCGAACCACCTAGACATCCAGTATTGAGCCACATGGTTGGAGGGCAATTTGATACACACGGGATGAAGGAGAAACAACGATCGAAGCGCAACCCATCAAGTTTCCGGTCGGAGGAGGAGGTCCCAAAGAACCAGGCGCAAAAATGAGCTCGAAGTGCGGCGAGGTTGGACCCGCAGAAGAGTCAGCGGTGTTGTCGAAGATTGTCGAATCGTTGCCTGAGACACGTGCCCAGCCAATGTGGCTTCCGGGGCCAGTGACCAGTGGACCCTGCTTCATCTGAGTCCACTCTGCGAGTGCCGCCACAGCGACGGTGGCGTTCCGTTTCAGGGTCTCGTACGTGTTGGTCGAGTTCACCAGCCACAACGTGTGCAGGGCAGGATGGTCCGTGAGATTTTGGCCGACAGAGGGTAGATTGTGCACGGGCCGGATACCGAGCTTCGAAAGTGCGTGGGCATCCCCGATCCCCGAGTGAAGCAAGATATGCGGAGTGCCTACAGCGCCGGCAGAGAGGATCACCTCCTTTCCTGCTGTAATGGTGGATCGGTTCCCTGATGCACGGTCAGACGGTATGTGCTTGAATGAGCATGCCGATACCGACCTTGGGCTGTGATGTACTCCACGGTCGTGAACGACGACGCGTCTTTATGCGAAAGAACGCGTGTGACTCGAGTGTTGAGAACAACGTGAAGATTGGGTCGGTTGATGAAGTTGGGTGCGAGATAGGATGTCGCAGCGCTACTTCTGAGACCGTTCGCAGCGGTGTCTTGCTTCCATCCTGTTTTTCCTCAATCATGAGCTCTAGAATGCTTAAACTAAGATCTGACCGACGCACCTATCCCCAGTGGATTGCCCGAGTTCATGTCCAGATTGAACGGCATACCCGTTACCTCTTTAGTCGCGGCAATAACTCGAGAGTCGATGTCGGACGGGAAACCGCTCAGGGCCACGGAATTGATGCCTGAAGATCCGTGCACCAAAGGATTGAACTGGCCCGTCGTGTTGTGGCCGTCTGAGGGTGCCGTCCACCGCTCGCTCTGAACGAATAACACCGTTCATCACGACTGGATCCCCGCAGCAAACAAATCAGGCACACCTTGAGCATGTACGGAAAGAGGTGATCCCAAGACCAGCCCTCGTCTTCAGTTACATTCGCAATCCGATCATAGTCGTCTCTAGTTCCTCGTGTGTAGAACATATAATCTGGATCATAAATGACTACTGAGGGAAGAAAGCGGAAAGACACGCACTGGTTGATGAGCTTCCACCCAGAACGAAGCCTCGCGGATACGCCACCGATCGATTGTTGAGTGCGGGTTGGGGGACAGTCGTGAAGTTCCAATCGACAGACGTCTGGGGAGACGCTTGGACGCAGTAGAAGGGGACCTCTATGTTGAGAATCCCCACGTTCCTGGTATATTCATTCACCACCTGTCCTGCCATGCAAACAATATCACTCACGAGATCCCTGCTTCCAGCACCAGCACGGTGACATTCGGGTTCTCCGAGAGTCGGTTGGCAACCACAGAGCCTGCTGTTCCACCTAATCAATCGAAGTTAGCTCTCGATGAACCGAAATTCGAGGTGCGGTCTGGCCCGTACCCCCAACAATGATGAAGTCTGGCGAGTGCTTGAGGTCATTGATGGCACTGGGACCGGAGTGGATAGACGCCTGAGAAGGGTCTGTGACCAGGAAAAGGAGGAGAAGACTGGCGATGATTCCGAGCATGATCCCACGGCCGTGCGTTTGGAGGAAGAAGACAGCCCGTTTTTATATCCTGACGCGCTCCCAAGCTGTCTACTGTCTATCACACATCGTGCTGACGGTGATTATTGATTGCAGGTCATCCTGATGATTCTTTACATGCTTCTGGCTTAACTCCGCCCAGATCAGTATTCTGAACATGGGCTTCGTCGGTCAGGCACTAACACACACATTGAGTTGCCCTGCTGCCTCTATGGATCGTCGATAGGCCGATGATCACCGTCAGCACTTCTACCCGACTAATTTCCCACGTCGAAACTCGATCGGGATTCATAATGACAGAACACCAAGCGACTGAAAATTACGACTGAGGGTGACCATGGGAAGGAGCAGAAGGCGAAGCCGAGGCATGTGTTGGGTTGGAAGGAACAGATAGCGAGGGAAGGACACGCCTTGTGCACAAGTTTCGCGGAAGCACCAATGGGAGCGGCGAGAAGCAGCACGCCCGAGTCTCAACCATAGCCTTCAAGAGCACGAGCGAGCTGCGAAATTTGCACATCCGAAACTAATTAGTTAGGCTGGTGTTTCCAATGAGTCTCGACTTTTTTAATGAGAGCTACAATTTCCATGCCCGTGAAGGTCCTTCAGTCCTTTATGTGAAGCACCTAGTGCTCTAAATGAGCAGCCTGTTATTATCATCCCCCCGGGCCACCCGAACCGTTTCATCAGCAAGCCGAAAAGCCGATGATTAGGATATGTCACGTGTGCCGTATCTACCGTTTACCTCTTCCACCGCGACTGCCAGTTGCTCACCAGACAGCTGTTCGATCATGCTTCACTGGATATAGAATCCGAAAGCCACTTTTTAGTCCCACATATCCGACCAATAGTACCCACGACGCGAGCATCTCGGATGGGGTATCTATCTCCCACTGGACCTTTCGGCCCTCCGAACTATACCCATCCAATGAAACCGTCCCCTTTTGTGCGGCTCATACAATCGAACGATCCAACCTCAGACGAAAATCTGAATAGCATATTTTCTCATATTGCGCCATATGAATCCCGCTTGGCCGAAATCGATGCCCTCATGGACGAGCGCGCCGCCCTGCGCGCATACGTCGACACGCACCGTGGACTCGCCTCACCCCTCCGCCGTCTACCCACCGAACTTCTAGAGACATTGTTCATCGCATGTCTGCCGGAGAAGCATAACGCTCTACTGGCAATGACAGAGTGCCCATTGTTGCTGACGCATGTGTGTCGTCGCTGGCGCACTGTTGCACTAGCGCTGCCGAGGCTATGGTGTTCGCTCCACGTTCCGATTGTGTATTTGATGTACTGTGAGGGGCGTCGTCGGCTGCTTCGACAGTGGCTGGAGCGGTCGCGAGAGCTGCCACTGTCATTGTCTGTTCGGGGTGTGCAGCCCGGTTCGGGCCTTGAGGAGGATGAGGATGAGTGGGTTGATGAGAACGGTTGCATGACTACGGGATCGAAAGCGGCTTTCCGAATCGTTGCAAAACATACGCACCGTGCTCGTCGCCTCGAACTCACCCACATCGATGCGTCAGATCTAGAGGCACAAGGTTCGCTCCCGATCGATATAGCCAATCTCGAGCATCTTGCGCTCAACGACTTGAATTCGCGATGGAGCTCAAGCACTCCTTTCTTGCCCTGTGTCCAAGGACCATCTCTTCGCGCTCTTGTTGTTGTCGGATACTCTCCGTTATTGGTGGAGACCCTGCCTCTCTGGTCGCGTTGTCTCGTCTCGGTCAAACTCGCATCTCTCAATACCGCCGAACCACAGCCCACGCTCGCCCTTGTCTTTGAGATTCTCGGTGAGCTTCCCCAGCTCCGAGTTCTGGAGGCGAATGTCAACTACGACCGGACGGGTCTTGAGGGCATGCCAGACACGGTCCGTGCTCCCTGTCTGCGCACGCTGGCTGTCTTGAACGACTCGACCATCGCGACCGAACTGCTCGCAAGGCTTCTCACCGTGCTCGATTGTCCGGAGCTCGTCTCGCTCACACTGCCTACCGACCGCTCTGACATCGCGGAGATCCCTTTCTCTGCCTTCTCCGTCCTCGGCTGTCGCTCTCCCAAGCTTCGCGAGCTGTGCACAGCACCATGGTTTCTCCCATCGGACCACATGTACGGAGTCCTCAGGCTCTTCCCCCGCATCGAGTCCCTCATCTTTAGATGCCGCATCTGGGACGACGACGACAGTCACAGCTGTGTGGTGAACGTCATCAATGTTCTCGGCGACGATATCGCATCAGGCAGCTTCTCCTGGCCAAATCTGCACACAGTCGTCTTGGAGGATTGCCAGGACGTCCCTACACATCTCTGGATCGACTTCCTGAAGCTCAATTCGACCGCCAAGACGGCCTTGCGTCGCTTTTCGATGACTCTGGATTGTGAAGCACCGTGGAGATCTCGACCTCTGGATTTGGGGCCGTTTTTGGATGCTGGGATCCAGGTAGAGGTTACGTATCTCGGCGCATTGGGTCCCTCGCCTTTTCTCGGCGTCGAGGAATCGACTGACTAACGGCCCTTGAACTGGATAACCGAGTCGTTGCCTGTTTCGCGTAGACCTGCATTGATCATCGTCCGGGTATATATGCGTGAATCTTGAGAGGTGGCCATGCGGATGGATGCCGCAATACTAGTCACTGATTACTCGGATTACTCGGACATCGGCATCTAAGCATCATCGTCTAGCTGCATCTCGCCTCCACTTATTCCACGAATCGAGGTCACACTTTTCGGTAGTGATCCCTATCTGCAGCCCAGTTGATCGACCCCTGCAATTCGTGCCTGTTAATGCCTGCGCCGACTCGCTACAGTCCGCCCGTTTAGAACAATGCATGATTACAGCTGAAGTGTCGTATATGACCATCCTGAGACCACGAGACCCTTAATCATGACCTGCCACGCATCTTGGTCCTTCGACCCATGTCGACAATCGTATCGTGCGAGTTCTGCAGTTCAGAAACGGCGCAAATCGCTATACCTCAATTCATTCGTGTCCGGCTGGATTAATTCTCGCTTGCTAAGGCTCCCGAGCAGCAACGCGATCCCTTTCGACTCTCAGGAGGTGCTCATCCGCTCGCTTGTATCAGACACCAACGCGGAGATCGTACGACTGGAGGCTGGAATGGATCCGAAAAGAGTGGAGCTGGCTATAATGGAGGCGGAGTGTGCGCCCGTCTCAAACTCTTTTCACAAGAGAACGCGACGCTGCTGGAACAGTGTGCGGCGGGTGCCACGTGAGAGCCTGAGAGGAAGAGTTGCTCTCAACCTCGTATGCCTCTTGGGTCTTGACACATATCTATCGTCGATGGCGGACTGTCGTGTGTGAGACACCGAGCCTCTGTTTCCACATCGTCGTAGACTTCAGATCGTCGTACCCCATGCCGTTTGAATCAAGGCACGCATATCTCATTCCGCTGATTCAGATGCAGCTCAAGCGGGACTCCTCGTTCTCGGTTCACTTTCAGAGTTGTGATCAAAGCACCGACTCCGATGTGTAGGCTGCTGTTTTCGATACATTGGCTGCTTCGTCCACGCGATGAATGAAGCTCGATCTTCTCCCCTCATCGCGCATACTTTCCCTCATCTCCCAGCTGTATCATGAGCCTCCCGCACGATTGTGCCGGACCATGTGGATCCCGACACCTTACCCCTGGGCTGGTTCGAGCTTGCTTCCTCTCTTCGACGCGCCCGGCTGCACCTTCGATCGCCGACTACGATACGATCTGACGATATCTCTCTTGCGTATCGCCAGTTGACTCGCTACGAAACTACGCTCTCTGGGTTGACCACGCAGCGATTTTACCGCAGCTGGAGTTGCTGACGAGCGCAAAACTGTCCGTCGTCCCACGGGAAATTCGAACACCTTCGGAGCATATTCTAATCCGGTTTTCTTCACTGACACACATATAGGTCTCCCATCCGGAAATCCTCAGTCATCTTATCGTACCCAAACTCCAGGAACTCGTGTTCATTGATGACGCTTTCACCAACGGCCTACTCTCGGAGTGCAGGAAGGAGCTCGCAGCCTCGCGAAATGAAGGTCGAGTTACAATCCTGATGGGTGAAGGCCCATTGCTGCTGAGGGACTACTTTCGGATGCCGAACGAGTGACGATGTATGCGTTGCATTACTTGTATAATTTTGAGACTCTGCGGATGACATCGGCTACCGGAACACTCCCCTCACTTGAACTACACTTGGAATTTCTGGTCTCGTCAATGGGTGTGTGGATTGAATGAGAAAGGATGAAGCTAGCATTGCCTAGATCTATGAAAGAAACTGCAAAAAGAAGAGTCTAGTGTTTCATATGAACATTGTTCGCTCACTCTTTCGACTTGCCAGCCTCAGATACTCATTCCTATTTCGACTTGAATCATCATAATTCGCTTCTATCTTCGGGACAACGAGCCTTGTCCGCAGCTTTTCGCATTGCAGGATATCAAGTATCAGCAATGGATCGTTTCCGTCTCGGATGAGAAGGGTGAGATCAGAACACGATAACTCTCCTGCGGATTCGAGAAACTGACCAAGACGAAGTCCGATCCTGACGATTTCATCCAAGCACTTCGAACGCTAGGGTGCCTGAGTTGGATGAACTGTGCCGATTTAAGTGGAAAGAACGTGCGATTATGACCCTTGTCCATTGTCCATGCAGGAATTCCGCTGAAATCCAAGTTTCGACTTATGTGACCTACTGACTGGAACAACGCGATCACCTGATCCTTAACGCTGATTCACGTGAATGATGATTTTGAATTATAGCAAGTAAAAGAGTTCAATATAAAATCACAGCCGAGGATTGTATAATATGTATGGTTTGGTGCTATTGGACGAAGGATAGGGAGGAAAAGTTTCGATCTTCATCCAGCGAGGCCACATTCGGTCGTCGTGGTCCTCGAATGGGATGTTCCAACGGAACGATCGTATGTTCGGCAGCTGGAGAAAAGGAAGGATCGTAGACAATCCGACAGAACATTCCATCCTATAAAACTCCGTGAAAAAGTCGAGGTCGGACAGGGTGTTCTTCGAATGGTGGTTGACCAGCGACTGAACCATCGCGTCCAGAGAAACCGAAGAGATCCTTCCATCTTTCAATTCGACTTGGATGGTGGTCAGAGAGCTCGACGACACAGCACGGAAGAAGCTCGTCGCTCTCTGCGCTGTGGTCTCGCCCAAAAACAGCTCGACAAGGGAAGGGAAGGGAGCCACCGCGTCAAAGGTGGGCGACATCTCCTCCAGAGACAGGAAGCGCAGCACGCGCAGATTGGGTAGCTGAGAGAGATGGTTCATTATGGGTCCGTCAGCCGAAAACACCTCCAGATACTGCAAGTTGGGGCAGCGGGTGATCAGCGCGAACTCTCCGCGGAAGGCCCGGTTGAATAACTGGAACTCGAGATGCGTGAGCACCGGGTAGGACTCTTCTTCAATGGCGATCGGGATCATGAAGGGATCAATTGACCACGTGTGGTATCCGCGCGTCGTGAAACAGTTCCGCACAACGCTCGGGCTGAGGATACGATCGGATCCACGAGTCCACAAATGTTGGCATTCGATCGACCGCAGGTTTGGGAACAGATAAGGGAACCTGTCGGAGGGAAGCTTCTCCAGCATCAGACACAGGTCCTCCGTGTAGACGCGTTCGACATGTCTGACGAGATTGCAGTAGTGAGAGATCCTCCCCAACTCGTCGTCGGTGAAATCGCGAGAGTTCTGGTACTCCGACTGGAATATGAACGTGTGAGAATAGCTCGAGGGACTGGCTGAAGATGGTAAAAACACACCAGGGAGAATGGGCTGATCCTTAGAGGATTGTCCTCCGGAAACAACGAGGCGATTTGTTGGAATCCCTCCACTCGTCGCCACAGAATACGAGTAGCTGGTTCGTGCAATGACTGGCAGGACAAGGCCATGCTGGAGAGTGCCTCGGGACTATCCGAGAGATGTTCGAGGATGCTCTGCTGCAGTTCCAAGCACAAGTCGGTGAGGAAAGACATGAGGTCGTGTAACCACATATGAAGACCAAGTGTGAGCTTTTAAAGCTGCCCGCGCAAATTCCAGTTGGTACGAACAATGGCCAACGTTTCCATGTCATCACGTCCCAGTTGTCATTCGAAGCCTCGGAGTACGGAATAGGCAATGTTTTTGGAAACGACTGTAGATCCATTGTTCCATGGCGCATGGCGAACATACCAATTGATTCAGGGCTTGAGATATTTGTTCAGAATCAACGTGCGGCGTGCCGCTGCGGAAAGGCTTCCGCCCCAGCCGATATCCCATCAGGTCCACCTGGTTTCTGGCTTCTTTCCTATTCCATGGCAAAATGCTCGCTCAGGAGGCGTTCCTAAGGAGCTTGAACTCTTGCTGACGAGATCTCAGTTATATCTAAAGCCTCGTGCTTTGATACACACTATGGAAAGTGGAATCGGCTGGAATGTGAAGCCGAGTCGGTGGAAGAGAATTTGATAGGACAGGATCATTTGCAATGGGGTTTAGTGCGACGGATACGGAGAGGAGAGTAAAGGTCCCAGCAAAGCATAATGATATTTGAGACCGAACAGCATACTACAGGACACGTACGTCATGACGGGGACTGATGAAGAGTTTCACCGCCACCTGTCATCCTCTGGGAGTACGTAGACGACTTCCACCGGCACGGCTGGTCGTTCCGACTTGTTGTGACTCGTCCTCGGATAGCTCTCCGACTTCGTAATTTCCCCTCGAAAGATGATGTAATCTTATCAGATGGCTGGGTAACCGTTTGTGCCGATTACCCAGGAGGAGAGTGTGTCAGAACAGATGAGTCATAAAGTTGTTTTAATTTTTGGACATTCTTTGGACGATGCCGTTGATGTGCATCAAGCAGTGAGCCTGCTTTTGACCAGTTACTGTTCTCGGAATACTCTCAAAGAAGCCAGTGTCAGCTGAGGCATCCAATATGCACTGCCCAGCTAGACCCTCAGCGCCCGAATTAACTTGAAACTGTAAGGATGCTAACATAGCCTTATTCGGTTCGGCCCGAGCCGGCCGTTTACCCGACTTCGTCAAACGTTGGGCCACTTCAATAAAAGATGAATATACGCGTGCATTAGCCGCCATTGACTCAGATCTCTCTCCCTTCTTAAATACGGCTGAGGTTCTCGATCAGTGCGTCTTCATCTACGACATCCCCCGCTCCTCCACCCGCTATGTCTACGACCACCTCCCTCCGAGAATCGGCCGATCATACGCTCGCCAGCGTCGAGATTCAGGAGAATGAGAAGGCTGCCGTCGCACCACCTCCAGTGGACCAGAGCACGATTTTGACGGGGAAGAAGCTTGCAATCGTCTTCGTGGCCATGTACGTACTAGCCCCGCGCTTCTTCCGTTGTCGCCCCATTGCTGATGGACACTTCTTGACTGCAGGTTACTCTCACTCCTTCTGGTCGCACTCGACCAGACGATTCTTGCGACTGCCCTCCCCCGAATTGCCTCCGACTTCAACGCGTTCACACTCCAGGGATGGGTTTCCACCTCCTTTGTCCTCGCGCAGACCGTCTTCCTGCTCTTTTACGGCCAGGTCCTCCGCATCTGGCCCGCAAAATGGGTCCTTTTCACCGCCGTCGTGATCTTTGAGCTGGGTTCGCTTGTGTGCGGAGTGTCTCAGAACGTTGGGCAGTTGATCGCAGGCCGCACCGTGTCTGGTGTCGGCGCGGCAGGAATCTGTGCGTGGCTGCGGTGCCTTGCATTTGATCATTCCACTAATCCCTTTCCAGTTGTTGCTCTGATTCAAGTCATCTCGCAAGCAACCCGTCTCGAAGATCGACCCCGACTGTTTGGTCTTTTCGGCGCAGTCTTCGGTCTCTCCAGCGTCATTGGGCCGCTCATTGGTGGGGCTTTCACCGACCACGTCAGCTGGCGGTGGTGTTTCTTCATCAATCTCCCTCTGTAAGTTGCCTCCTTTCCGACTGCATGCATTCAGCTCACCGCCCGGCAACAGCGGAGGTTTGTCTTTGACAGGTGTCGTGTTCCTGCTCAAGGCGTCCCCTCCTCTCGGGTCTGATCCCACACGACGCACATGGTCCGATCTGCTCCACCAGACTCTGCGTCTGGATTACGTCGGCGCAACGCTCATTGCAGGGTGCATCACATCGCTGGTCCTCGCCCTCCAGTGGGGTGGGAACACCAAGCCGTGGGGTGACAAGGCCGTCATCATCGTGCGTGCTGTCAGCCTCTTCCGTTCTAATCTGATCGCCGATCTCCCAGTCCTTCGTCTTTGCAGCTGTCTTGGCCGCTGCCTTCATCGCATGGGAGATCCGCCTGGATGAACGTGCCATGACCCCGACTGCGATCTTCAAGTCGCGCTCTGTGTACGTTTTGCGTTTCTTGGTATTCAAGGTCCGTACTGACGTCATTCTCAGCTATGCTATTCTGTTTTACTCGTTCCTCACCCGGTTCTCGCTGCTGCTGTTCTCGTACTACATTCCGATCTTCTACCAAGCTGTTCGCCACCACTCTGCCACCAAATCCGGTATCGACTTGCTCCCCTTCATGCTTGGTGTCGTGGTGACCGTGATCAGCTCTGGTCAGCTCGTGGGGCGATTCGGATACTAGTGCGTTATTCGCGTTGCTCGCGCTATTCTTCAATACCTGACCACATCCCTTACGCAGCTGGCCGTTCATCCTTTCGGCCCCCGTCTTCCTAGCGCTCGGCTCCGGTCTGCTCTACACACTCAACAGCGGGACGTCCTCAGCCAAGATCGTCGGATTTCAGATTCTCGCTGGCGTTGGCATCGGCATGGGGATGCAGAACTCGCTGCTCGCGATCCAGGTCGAATTCAAAGACACGCCCCGGATCCTCGGCCAAGCGACATCCATGGCATCCTTCGCGCAGTTCCTTGGTGGAACCCTCGGCCTCGGTGTCGCCGAGCCCGTGTTCGCCTCCGAGCTGAGCAAGTTCCTCGTCAAGTACGCGCCGAATGCACCCGTCGCCATCGTCGCGCAGAGCCCGACCGCCATCTACACCAAGCTCGACCCGGCACTGATCCCGGGCGTCGTGCGCAGCTATCAGGAGGCGCTCAGGATCGTGTTCATCCTCGGTGTCCCAGTTGCAGGGCTTGCGTTGATCTCCGCAATGTTCATCAAGAATATTCGAATCGCTGTTCCCTCGGCTGCAGCGAAGCCCAAGGCGGATGCGGATACTGCCGAGAAGGGTGTGATTGGGGAGGCTTCATGATGGAAAACTACGACCCTATCAATGTATTATAGCAAAAAACGCATACCACCGCTCTAATTCGACCTAGATAGACATCATCTCATTCATCTAGTGTAACGGTTATTTCCCTCATGTCACGTGGAATCTCAGGAATGAAAGGATCAACATATCATTATGTATATGAAGGGATGTGTGGATGAACGGTAAGGTCCGCTCATCTCGCCTCGAACTTGGCGATCATTGCATCAACTGCAGTGATGATAGCTCAGTAAGAAACTCAATAGCTGTCTCAATAGCTGTCCTCTGCGAGCGGGCATCCGTTTCTGTGGACAAGATCAAAGTGTGCGGTGCTTCGTCAATCCAGAAAGAAGCTTAGAAGGATTAGTATCTGATCTCGGGCAAGCTTGGATCTTGCTAAGCCAGCAATCTGGGAACACCGAAGGATTTGATATACACATCGTTGATTTCGCAACTTGAGGAAGGTGATTTCGAAGAGGCGAGAATTGAACGGATCTGCTAGTGCTCACAGATGAGCGGCCCTAGACTGTCCTTTCGAGCCATCATTCATTCTCTAAGATCGACATTGATGATCTCCCTCCGACGAGGACGATGATTCTCGCAAACTAGGGTCGACATCCGCTCACAGGCACAATCGCAACAGCTAGGGCAAAGTTTACAAATCTAAAAGTATTCACGACAAGATACTAAAATCTCAACGACAGCGTAAATGTTTCTTTCCTTGAAGAAAAACACCCAGGGACATGAGAAATCTAGTGGACACAATGTATTTCCTTTTTACAAACAAGTCCGAAAAGCAACTTTTGCTGGCACCTCGTGAAAAGCTAGGATCGCCACTCATTCACGTTCACTTTGCAGACTTGAATGGATTAGAAACAGTCATTTCACTTTGAAATGTCCTTCTGACGTGAAGGCGCCCATTTTCTACTTGGAGAATCTCGTTTTCTACGCTTCTCTCTTGAGCATGTTGACAAACTTTGCACGAATGAGAGAATCGGACTCATTCTGAGCTAGGTGAAGTTGGTGTCTCTTCTCATTCACGTTCGAAACCGCTGAGCCTGAAGCGTAGAGTCTGGAGCCGCATCGTCTCGCTAATGACTGCTTCCACGATATCTAGTAGATACCCTGGTCTTTCCGGCAGATTCCGTGCTCAAGACCCAATGTGTCTCCGGTAACCCCAAATATAGAACACTCTCCACGATCTGACTTGCCCGCCGAGAGTTCTACATTGCTTCCCACCGATCCACGCTGACTAGTATGTGCAAAATCGAAAGTGACATCCATCATCAAGGCTTGAGCCTCGGGCTTGGAGACATGACGATCTAGAGATCATCGAGTCCCGTGCTTGTCACTCACGACCCGCAGAAACTCGCTCACTTTCTCCCAATAGCCCGGACATGTGAAAGTATCCGCTTCAGCAATGCATCAGCTCGGCCGGATGCGAGTAGAGCAGAGCAAACGCACGATGACAGCCCTCCCCAAACGACTCGAATCGGTCACACTCCTTCTGCGAGCCCTGGGGACCCCGTTTTTGCGCCAGATCCCACAGCGCCGACATGTGCTTCGGGGGCACGATCTCATCTTGAGCGCCGCTGAGCATCAAGATGGGTGTGCTGCGCGGAATTCGCTTGATCTTGGATGCCGAGTCCCAGCGCTGGAAGCACAGGAATGAGAAGGGCCCGATGACCGGCCAGTCGCGCACGACGCGAGGGAGGGAGAGAAACGTGTTTTCGACGATGATCGCAGAGACGGTCTCGGGATTGCGACTTGCGAGGTCGATGGCGACGGCTCCGCCGAGAGATGTGCCATAGAGGATCTGTGCACGCAGTGAGAACTGATCAAGTTTGCGAGCGCGAACGCGGAGCGCACAATGGGCCTTTTGGCGAGGTCTGGCTGAGCGAGAACGTGGTCTAATGCAGCTTGCGCATCGAGCCGCAGGCCTGGGTTTTCAGGTAAGCACGTGGGACGCATATACACAGACTTCCCAGTGGCACGCACCCTTCTCGTGTGGGCTGCCTTCAGATTCTGCGTACCTTCCTCCAGGATCAGCATTTTCTAACTCCAACAGCCGCAAGGACGCACCCTCGATAAGACACGATGAGCACATCACATCCACCGAATAAGAACCGTTTCGCTGCGAAGCTCATATCCCCACAATTCATCCCGTTCCCATGGAACACGACAACCGTGCCAGCAGAGAGCTGCCCCGTATTCTATATGCACGCGTCGTAAGCTTCCCACCAGCCACACACCACGCCACGCTGCGTACAGGGAAATCCGGCGGCGCCTCGTCCTCAATGATGTCCTCGTGTGTGCACTGACGTATTCGTGCCGCGGACTGGTCGGCGTACCGCAGGAAGAAGCATCTGAGTTTGACTTTGTCGGACGTGCGCAGCTCGAGGTTCGTGTATGCGAGACCGAGCTCGGAGGGGAGGAATATGCCTGCAGTGCGTGGGCTGAGAGTGAGCGCCGTGGGACCCGGCTCCTGGCATGAAGGAGATGCACTTACTACGCGGCTTGGGCTCGTAAGCAGACGGGTATACCATGAATTTCTGGCCGTGTCGAACGAGCTGAGCGTCTTGTCAGGCCAAGCAAGTGAAGCCCGTGCGCAGGCAGCCTACCATCCAGAGGATTGACTGCAGGCTCATGTGAAGAGCAAAATCTTAGGTAGATGACCGTTGTTGAGGTTGGAAGTCAGAGTGCTGAGAGCGGTAGAGTCGCGGAGCCTCGAGTGTGTGCTGTATACGGGGCTGTATACCACAGCTCAGTGGAGGTACAGATCATGACACGAGCACATCGGGCATGACGTTATCTCCGCGCGCACAGAAAGTTTGCCGGAAAGACTCGACTTTTGTGTAAATATATGTCGTAGAAAAGTTGATCGAAATTAGTGGGCAGAACTTCCAACAAACGCCTGCTGGAAAGGAAGAGTTTCTGGGATTTCATTCGTCTTATGAAAGGAGACCAGGAAATGAGCCTTTTCCATGTTCCTATCCGGGCTTAGGAAGGACTGCTTTCTTTATCCTGGAATTTGTCCCAAAATGACACATTTGTGTACCAATTTTCAAAGGATGGAAATGAAATATTTTTGGCCTCAGCCACTACATCTGTCATCAGCTGGGCCCACTGCCCGCCGTCTTCCCTTCACCGGTCGCAGCAGACCAAAGGAAGCTGGGTTGAGGCAGATATTCGCCATGGACTTTCATTGGTCGCACGCAAAGCACGAGCTCCAAGCCACACGCGCATAACTGTCTCCTTAGCTCTCTGGCTGGCGCATTCATCCAAGACTTCTTCGTTCTCGGAGCTCTTCATGCGCGAATGTTCCAGTCGGATGTCCTATCGAATGAAACAGGGATGTCTTGTGCAACGAGAGGGGCTTGTCTGTCTGTCCGCGCATCGACTGCTCGCAGCGATTCTTGGTGTGACGATTGCAGTGGTCTCCTGCTGATGCTTATTGATCACTGACAAGATATTCCCGTCGTATTGTCCAATTCTCTCACTTGCGAACCCCGTCGTCCGTCTTAGTGCCAATGCAGATGAAGACACCGCGACCGCATATCATCAAGCACGCCGCCCTGATACTCTGAACACCTCTGGCATCCATAGATCACGACCCGGGATGCTGATTCGCGCTATCAGAAACGATAATCCCGGGTCCCTCACCCTCATAGTCCAGTCGAAGATCTTGCGTGTGGATTCCCTCCATGCGTGTCGTTGACCCAGTATCGAGGAAGAGCTGGCGAAGATGTATCATCAAATCGGTCACCGGGAGTCTATCGTCTTCTCCGGTCACTATCTGCTCAGTGCTAGCTTTCAAACATGTGTCTATCGGATTGTCGCTGCACCTCAAAACCACAGACACTTCCGAATCGCAGTCACTGGGTGGATGAGGACCGTTCGCAGAATCGAATGTGTCTGAATCACACTGGCGGATTGTACCAAGTTCGATCTCGCGTCGGTATCATGGAGAGCATTGCATACATTACATCTCGGTCCAGTATCGACCCTGGTCTTCCCCTGTGCATCCGCATGTCTAGCGGCGTGAGTCGACCCTCCAGGTCGCTGGTGGTTCGGTTCACTTTCCTATCGCGTGGCAACATCGTTTGATCGCGCATCTGGTCTAATTGCTGAGTCGCCATGCTTATCTTCCTGAGCTCTGGTTACAGCCACCCGCTGATCTACTGCCCGCTACCCCCTGCGACCGTGCTCTTGGAAGGCAGTATCAATGACAATCAGGTATCGCGACGGTGCATTTGAACAGGCGGTGAATTCTTCCGGAGCGGAGATGGCCGCTACCTGGTCTCATCCTCCATGTACTGCCTCGGCTGAAACTCGTCCGGCTGCTCCAGGAAGCCGCTGTGCGCATTGAGGTCTCAGTTAGGATACATAGTTCGTCTGCTCCGGCGTCGTATGTCGAAGCTGGGTTAGAGAGTGAAGCAAATGCGTGGTCTTCGGGCTTAAAATGCATTGAGGAGATCTTATCTGTATCCGCGTAACCTTGGAATCATGAGCTCTAGTCCACTGAAAAGCACCGCCACATCGTCCAATCGATCACGACCTCTATTCTTACCAAAGTACCATCCACTGGAGGCAATGTCCTCTGCTGCGCCCTGCACAAGATGCGGAGCAGATAGCAGCTCAGTCACCGCGCCCGAGACTCTTGTACCCTCATCTCTTTTTGCGAGTATGCGTGCCCTGTCGAACACAAATCAGGTTCCTCTGGATTCCGAGTTGAGGCTGATGCGCTCGATTGTGGAACAAGCGAAAACGAAGCTGTCACGCCTGGAAGAGGAGGTGGTATGGATTGAAGAAAGACGATGTGCTTTGAAGGCAGAAACAGCTAGCTTGGCACAATTCTACGCTGAGAATGCGCCGGCTGTGTCCGCCGTGAGACGCATGCCATACGAGGTCTTGTGCGAGATCTTTCGGGGCACGTTGCCATCCGTGGCAGAATTGCACGAGGAAAGAAAGATCCGGACCACTCAGTTCCCGTGGGTCCTAACTCAAGTCTCTCGTCGATGGAGAACAACGGCCGTATCTCTCCCATCGCTTTGGTCTCGAGTCATCGTCAACTTCAGCGATGAAGACAAACATATTTCCTCCAATGCATATCCCCAACCTCTTCTCGCCACACAGCTTGGCCGCGCGCGCTCTCTGTCGGTCCACTTCGCAAGTTCAGGCAGTCGCAAATCTGGTACCCAAGCGCACCTGTTCAAGTTCCTCGCGGGCACGTCCTGTCGTTGGACAGAGCTAGAGCTTGTCATTTCCTGCACCATCCTAAGATCTTTACAGCTCCTACAATCGAATCTTCCGGCTCTGAAAAGATTGAGGATCTCCTGGGACGACTCTTGGGAGAATGACTACGATAGTGCCAGTTCTCACGTCTGGTGGCGCCAAACCCGGGAATTGAAATGCTTCGAAGCTGCACCATCGCTGAGGCATCTCATGATGCGGAAAACCTCCACCCGACAGTGGCCTATTCGCCTTCCCTTCCATCTCCTCACCACCTGCCAAATCCGAGTCAATGACCTTTTCCAGGGATGCCTGGCCCTACTGACGCAGGCGACCCACCTCATTCGGGTCCGCATCGAGATACACACCGAGCAGGAGTCGCAGATTATCAATTTCCGCAGAGACCGGGCCGCACTCATCCGTTTGCCATCCTTGACACATTGCTATGTTTCGCATTTCGAGATTCTTGGCTACTTTATCCTTCCAGCCCTAGAGGACTTGGTCGTCGAGTGCGAGGAAAACGAAGACATCGACAACTTCGTGCAGACTGCGACAGCCCTGGTCACTCGCTCGACATGCGTGCATTTGCGTGCACTGAGCCTGAAATCTCTCCCGCTCGCTGCCATCCAGCTGTCGGAGCAAATCCCTTCGATCACTGAGCTGCGCACTTTCCACTCGATACGCGCCGGATCTCAGCTCACGCGCAAATTGATGCCGTCTCTGGTCGTCTACGGCTCCCAGCCTATCGTGGCACCCCAGCTGCAATCCATCCTGATATACGCCTTAGGCGAATCCGTCGCATCCTTCGATCTCAGACTCTACCGCGCCATGCTCCACAGTCGTCTCCATGCGGAACCGATGGAATTGCAACGTTCTTTTCTCCTTCTGTCCGATGCGAGTGCATTGGACTCGGATTCTCTTGCCAGCCTCCATGGCCTGACCAACGACCAGTTCCGATTCACGTTGCTGCTCGGTGACCAAGCTTTGGAATACAGTTGCGACCTGGACGGGGATCTGATTGTGATATAAACCGTTTCTGTGATAATATCGTAGTACGAAGACCTTCAAAGATTGTAACTAGAGCCTCAGGTGCTGGCTGGCATCAGTGACTAATACGACCAAACACATATCTTGCCTCTCAGCAGTGACGGCCACTGCGCGGTTCTTATGGCTGCAGACTTGACACCCTGACTCGAACGATCCGAGTTTGTAGTGCCTTTCTGTGTCCTATGTATCTCCGCCGACGCCCGTTCCGCACATATCGACCGAAACTTGGCGAGTCAAACCCACTGGGCGAATCGAACCCACAAGACGAGCGATCGGCGATGTCCTCTGCCGCGAACTCCCGTTCGGGATGTACATTTGGCGGCTTGCATTGGTACTTTTGGTCGCATCCTTCTTCTCCGTCTTGTCATTAACTTGCGTATGGACGGTCTCTCAGCCAAATCTCGTGCTCGTCCGAAGGAGAGACCACCGGCGGAAGGTGCCAGGATCGGACTCTCTGCATGCTTCCACTTCTTTCGCCCTTGGTTATGTACGCTATTTCCATTCTTCTCGATGTGGGGCTTTGCTATCGAGCTTCTAGAGGTATTGCTTCCTGATGTGGAGAGGCTGTCGTCCACCTTCGCTCTCACTTCGTGCAGAGACACCCGTCTCGAAGTTCACTTTAGTTCTGGACGAGTCGCTTCTACTTCTCACTCTGAAGCGCCATTTCTGTGTACTCTCGGAACAACGCAGCGCCCTGGATCCAATGTAACGTTTGCTCGATCAGCCTCGCGGAATCGGATACGCAGGGCTGTAATAATTCCCGGTTGTCTGCGGGCTTGAGCGACATTCGGGTGCGATGGTATATATCAAATATTTTACCGGCCTTGCCCATAACCATCTGAATATGAGCGAGTTTGGAGATGCATGTGACTCGCAGGCATTGCAGCGGAACCGAGCTGAATCAAGGACGCCTCTCAGTCCTCCGGCCTTAACAAGCTTCGTATAGTTTGTAGCTTCGGCCTGGAGGGTGTCCGATTGCTTGCAGGACGAGCCAATGCCAAACTTGTGAACGCGCCCGAGTTGTCAGCGGCGGCTGACGGTGAGACTCGTTATTGATGTTGGAGTGAGCCAGCGAGATGCGTAGAGCGATCGCTGAACACGGCACATGCGATAAACACCGTGTTTCAAAGAGCACAAACCATTATACACACTCCGTCCTTGCATCAGTGACCACTTTGGCAGCTGCCAACCGTCCGGTTTCGTCACTGGTCTTGAATGCCTTCTGGCTGAGGTGGAGGCATGGTCTTCAGGATAGCGAAATCTGAGAACTGTAGGTCCCAAAGCGGACGAGAAGCATAAGCACTGGCTGATCTGTGACATTCAAGTCTGCCTACCCTGCTACATCCGTGCGATTCAAAGCTCTCGGCGAGCAAGCTTGATCTGTTGGAAATGTCCGCGGTCCCATCGAGGTTGAGTCGATATTGGTGACTGCGATACAGATGTTTGCGCTCGAAAGCTTCTCCAGGTCAGACTACTTGTTGCGATCGATACATGAGCTCATGAATTTGTGAATGAACCGCTTCTTCAGGGGAATCGCACATTTGATGTCCACTGAACGCAGTACCGCTGTGATCAGGGTTTGACGTGAGCAGGTAGTTGAAGCAATGCATTCAATCTCGCCTTACCGGTGTGATCGAGACCATGACTTGCATCTCGAAAACAGATCATTTGCATAAGAAACATAGATTTCATAAGGCATAGTACAGTAACAAGAGTGTAACATAAGGATTAGTAGTCAAGGAGCATCGTAACAAGTAATTTCAACACATCGGCGCTGCGATGATACCTACCAGTTTCCAGAGATCGTCTGGTACGCATGCCCGAGGTTCTGCATGAACAAGTGCGCCGGGTTGGCAGTGAAAACCGGCTCCTCGACGGGGAAGAATGGCTCATGGAACTGCAAGTCGTCGTAGGACTCGAGCCCTACCGAAAAGTCGCACATGAACGCCGGATCAGGCCCGGGGATGTACGACGCCAACTCGTGGTTGGGAACGGGACAGTACGCAGCAGGGTCGTTGGTGTACATCGGCATCGGCGCCAGCGCAGACATGTTCGGCAGAACGCGGGGGAAGTAGGGGGAGTTCTGGAATCCGTCGGACGCGACTGGGTAAAAGAGATCCTGCACGGGGAAGTATTGTGCGTTGTCGGGGATAAACACGACGGAGGCAGACTCGGAAGTGGGGCTGAGGGTGCCCGACGAGGACTGGGGTGAGGGGAGGGTGAAGTGGAAGGGAGCAGCGAGCTCCGAGGGTGGTGTCGACGCGCCGGAAGACGGAGGAGAATCCACACAACGCACACCTTTCGCATCACACCGCACCCACTCCGCCGTCGGCCCGTCGCGCACCACATACTTCGGCCGGAGCCCCGACTCCTCCATCAGCCACGGCACCTCGTCGCGGTGCCTGCTCTTCACGTGTCGAATCTCGGCGGCGGCGTCGGAGAGGGTTTCCTCGCACGATGGCTTGCGGCACATGAAGCGGATGCGATAGCTGCGGCAATGTCAGGCTCGGCTGTGAGGGTGAAGAAACTGGCGCACGCACTGGTCTTTCATCTGGTGGGTGTCCATGTTCTGTTTGGTCGAGGCCATGCGATTGCAGGTCGTTCCGTCATCGAGCTTGACACCGCAAGGCCTGTGAAATGATTGAGTCGGTGAGATGGAGGAATGGTGGGATGGAAACGCACTCGGTGTACTGGAGGAAAAATCGAGTCAACTTCAGATCGCAAAGTCTGGGACGCAAACAACACTCACAAGCTTGCGGGGTCGGCATCCGGCGAGCCTGAACAGCTTCGGAGTGTTTGATTTCGACATGGCTGTGAGCAAACGGTAGTTTTCGAGTTGGTGATAGCACTGGGGTGATTGGGAGAGATTTGGCTGGCCATGCAAAGTGCCCCCAGCTTTATGCGCGCGCCGAGCGCCTGCATTGAAACGGGGTAGCCCAATGCGGGCTTCTTTCCTTTGTCGCTTAGATATGATGGGAGTGTTCACCTTCCTAAAGCGGACTGATGGGAGGGAAGCTTTGGCCTCAAGCCATGGTGCGGTGCTGATCATGATCTGCACTGTGCGCTTGAACACGACTTCGTTCCTCTTTTGGAGCACAATGTACAACGGTGTCGCCCACATTGGAGAGGTTCTGACAGGGCAAATCCTGTGCTCGGCAGACTCTGAGCAGAGCTTTGGATGCGCCGATGCTTCTTGTGCTTGACATCAGGCTGTGTCCCGACCTTCTTGGAGGCATCCTTCGCACTGATGAGCTGCAAACAAATATATTCGTCTTGGCCGTGGAAGGCCTCCTCAAACTTCCCTCATGCATTACTTTGTTTGGCCCCAGTCTTCGTGAGCCTTGTTCAGAGGCCCCCGATTCGATCAAGTGGACGACTGAAATCACTTCATCTTCAGACTCATCCGAGTCCCAGATTTGTCGGCTCCTACGCTCATTCTTCCTCCGGCGCGCGTTCTGCGCCCTTCGCATTGACATCCCCGTCATGTGACCGCGTCTAGTCTTTGCAGCCGCCCAGCAGTGACGTCACATGCGCTTTGCTGCCCTCTTCATACAAAGATACAATGGATGACCTCACGATCTTTCCGCCGTCGAGCTTCGGCTGTCGCATTTTCTATCAGGGAGACCACACTTGCGCGTTCCACCCATCTCATCGAGTTTGTTCCATGTGCACAGAGGGGCCTACAGAATTCGCCGCGGGACCCCCGCAGATCTGGCCCAGCGGGACCCCTGAGAAATCCAAGTCCCGCTCTCGACGACGACGGCGCTGTAAGATGTTCTGTCAACACTGGCATAGAGTCTGAAGTAGTAGAAATATATCCCCATGCGTTGCATCATTCGTAGTGTGGACATCGTTGAGGACGACGAGGTCGAAGAGTCGGGTCCCGCGGGAATCTACCTAAAGCGGGACTAAACCCAGCGGGACTCCAGCGGGAATGGAAAATGACCCCGCGGGACTCCAGCGGGAGTGCTTAACCGGTGTGCGGGACTCCAGCGGAGGTCGAGCAGGTCCCGCGGGACTCCAGCGATGGCCCCACTCGACCCCGCGGGACTCCAGCAGTCGTCTCACATGCCCCGTGGGACTTCAGTGGAGGTCCAGCAGAGGTCCAGCAGGTGTGAAGACTGCGGGATCCTCTGCTCACCGTCACAATCCGGGAGTGCTGCTCTTTAAGGTCACTGCCGCACACCGCCGTGCCTATCGTCGTCGCACATTAAAGTCACATCATCATCGTGCACGTCGCGTCAATTCCACAGCCACCTCATCATCATCGTGCTCGTCGCACTGCACATCAAACATCACAGCCACATCGCATTCCTGCTCATCGTTCGCAACAACGACGACGATCATGTTGAAAATAAGAATTTCATATTATTAGTTAGCCTGACAGCTAGTAACTAAAACAACTCATTTTTGAATGACTTAAGTCTGGGAGACTGCGCCTTAAATGGGGAAATTCATTCTAAGTAAACCTCAACCTGTGTGCATTCACAACAACAGGTTGTCTAGAATTTACCATGGGACGCCATTGGGCCAACCCAGCGGAGGCCCAGCGGACCTCACTTTTTTTGTTGACAGACCGCCGCCCTCAACAACGACAACAAGTACAGTATGGTGTGTATTTCAATAGGTAGTTACACCTAAGTTGTTCGGTCTAGTGGGATGGTAGTGTATGTGCAACAACAAAATAGTATTCAACAATGTCTAGCGGTGGTCCCCGATCGAGCAGCGGGAGTGCTAGCGGGATCTGCGGCGGTCCCGTGGTAGTGCAAGTTTTGTCCTGCGGGACCCCAGCGGGACTCCAGCCGGTCCCAGCGGGTCCCGCGGCTAATTCATGTAGCCCTGCACAGAGGAGCGCACAGTTTCATGGCACATCGGTGTTAATAAACGGACTGTTTCACTCCACGACAAGGAATCACTCCCGCTTTTGAGATTCTATTGTATCCGGTTGGGGCCATCATCCTTGAAAATATTCTCCGGTACTCCCGATTCAATCCTGCGTGCTGTCCGCAAAATTACACCCACAGATGTGATTCGCTCCGCTGACTTGATCCTATTTCGACTTCTTCCTAACATCTCCGCACTTCATATCTGTTGAGCCTATCTTTCAGATTGAACCTAGAGAGATAAATTCATGTCCTAATGCCTGCTGAGGTTGCTCGAAGTCCTCCATCCTGGTTCTGATCTTTTCTACACTACTTCCATGTACCGGCATTGGAGGGACCTTTGCTACTTTGTAGAGATCCATCTCACATGATAAATTCGTAACCTTTGAATTCATGTTTTGCCTCAACACCCTTCCGCTCTTCGACGCGCATCTTACGCTGAGCAAGATTCGTCCTAAAAACATGTGACCGCGTTTCATGTTTGCAGTAGCCAAATACGACGTCACATGCCTTCCACTTCCCTTCTCTGCCTTTCCAAACGCCAGGCGTCCTACTGCCAGACTCGAGTACTGTGACCGGGAGCCGCTAGATCCATACACTCGCGGATTTCGTTCTCATAGCTTTGTCGATCTCGTTGAGGTGCTAGGGTCCCAACTCAGCGATAGCCATGAATGCCAGCCAACTCTACTGTTTCTCGACGTCGGCGCCGGCGAGGTCACCGGACGATGTCTGTTCCTTTGAATCGAAGCTCTTACAGAGCTGTACCGCACCTAACGTTCTGGATCCTCAATTGCCTCGGGACAGGGGACAAGCTTGTGATACATGTGAGATGGGTAGCGCGTGCTTGTAAAGTAACCTGGTGTCTGAGGTATGCGCCCCTCACAGCCAGCCGCAACCTTCTTAGAGGCTCATGACTGAGCAGGATGTCCAGGTCATTACGCTCGAACTCTGAGGCCTCTCGTTGCGCAATCACTGGGTCTCTACGCAAGACCGCAAGAGCACCTACGATGCAGATCGGCGTCGCACTTGTGCCATGCATATCTACGAGTTCAATCGCACGCGTGGGATGTATCGTCAGAGCTGGTCTTCGATGATGCGCATCGTCGTCTCGCCTCGACCGTCGCGGTGGCACTGGGCGCTCATAACGATGTCCAGCAGTCCCGCCTGCTTTGTGTTCCAGGGACTCAGGCGTCCATGCGGCCGCGATGATCGCGTCCGGCACTACTTTCTCCAGGGTAGCGATCGGCTGCAACATTGCTGTATCTCGTGCTCCCAGGCCGAGCCTTTAACAGCTCGCTTCATACGGCGGATATCGACCTTCCAGTCTCCGAGGTCATCGAGGTTGTGCTCGTAGAGCGGTTCCATGATCGGCGACACTCTGTGGCCGAGCTACTCGGCTGAAAAGACGTCGTTTCTCGATGCCCTTCCAGACATCGTGTTCGGCCTATCTCGGTCTCGATCCATCCAATCCGGCGCTTGCCTCAGTCGTGCGCGTCGCATCGACCAGTGCAACTCTGTTGCTTTCTCCACGGTAGAACCCGTCACAAAACCGCCATTCCCAGTTCCTGTTCCCGGGTCGACCGACAAAGGAGTCGTCCGATGGATGGGGTGGGGGAAGGATGCGTGGATGTGGATTAGACCATGCTTGAAATGGGACAGGTACCGGGCAGCCGAGCCCAGGGTCTTGACATGCTGGCCAGCGCTCGCTCTATCTGGATCGCCGTCCCGACTTTCGAGAACATCCACCTTCGGTAGTGCTGTGCGACAGGTTTGCAATGGTCTCTTTGCGTAGAAAAAGGTCTGATCAGTCAGCTCCAGATGCGTCCGAGCTCATAGCAAGACACCTCCCTCTGTGAATCGTGTCGGCGCCAGGATCTTCAAAGAGTCACGGATTCACAACGCCCCAGATTTGCCGCTTGGCACTCTGCCGTTGCAGGTGCGCTAGGCGACGGAATCATGATCCGGAAATGCAGTCTGTCATGGGCATCTCCATCTTTGCACAACAGCCGCATGCTTCCACTCGTATGTATGCCGATGGTCACCTTGGCCCCACTGCACACCCCTGCGCAGTCCACCACTGAGCACCACGAACCCAGATCTGTAGAAACGACAGTCGAAAAGAAGAAACTTCCAATATTGGATGCAAGAGCCGTGTCGCCGTCTCAGTTTCGCGAAAGCACCGTCCCGTTTTCTACCATCGTCCATGCCAGCGAGATCGACGTAGCGGCAACGATAGACGAGCTCGCGGTTCCTCGAAACGTCACCGGCAAGAAGACCGGGGACCCTCCATGAACAGACGGACTAGAAGATAGGACCCACCTGAGCTGTCGCTGGACAAGCGTTCGACACGCACTGAGCGGATGAGTCTCAGCATGCGTTCGGCTGGCTCCTGATTCATCGCATTGCAATTTTACGGCTTGTGTGGGTGTGTTCATGTACTCGATACCAGGGACTGCATCCCCATTACTCTGCTCGATAGTTCTCTTTCAGCTGTGTTCCAAGGCGTGATCTTCGCTGTCCAGAAACACAATCCCCGAAGTGTCTGCCTCCTGCTCTCCTCAAGTGCTCTGAGAATTGCGATAGCTTTGCTTGTCAGATCTCTTTTGCATACCTGTACATAATGACTAGAGACAGATGCAAGAGCTTTGGACCATTGTGCACACTCCGTCCTTACATCAGTGGTCACTATGGCTGCTGCCATCTATCCGATTTCGCCCTGGTTTTGGATCGCCTCGCGCTGAAGTGACGGCATATTCTTCAGGACATTCTCGTTCTTGGGAAATCGTCATATAATCCACAAGAGAACCCGATACAGACGCGCGAGCTTTGCATGAGTGTGATCGTGAGATCTGGGAACTCTGGGCCCCAAAGCAGACGTGAGGCCATTAACACTGCCTGACCTGAGACTCGGTGTCTATGCTCCTGCATGGGTGCGATTGGTACGTCTCGGCGAACGACGCTCATCTGTTGGACATATATATCGGTGAATGGGATAAAGATGTTTGCGCCCGGGAGCTTCCCCAGGTTCGGTCCAGTGGGTGCGATTTATCCATGGTCCATGAATGAACCACTTCTTCAGGGAAATCGCACACTGATTTCCACTGACCGCAGTGCTGCTGTGATCAGGATTTGAAGTGAGTAGGTGGTTGAATCAAGGCATTCAAACTCGCCTTACCGATGTGATCGAGACCTTGACTTGCATCTCGAAAACAGATCATTTGCATAAGAAACATAGATTTCATAAGGCATAGTACAGTAACAAGAGTGTAACATAAGGATTAGTAGTCAAGGAGCATCGTAACAAGTAATTTCAACACATCGGCGCTGCGATGATACCTACCAGTTTCCAGAGATCGTCTGGTACGCATGCCCGAGGTTCTGCATGAACAAGTGCGCCGGGTTGGCAGTGAAAACCGGCTCCTCGACGGGGAAGAATGGCTCATGGAACTGCAAGTCGTCGTAGGACTCGAGCCCTACCGAAAAGTCGCACATGAACGCCGGATCAGGCCCGGGGATGTACGACGCCAACTCGTGGTTGGGAACGGGACAGTACGCAGCAGGGTCGTTGGTGTACATCGGCATCGGCGCCAGCGCAGACATGTTCGGCAGAACGCGGGGGAAGTAGGGGGAGTTCTGGAATCCGTCGGACGCGACTGGGTAAAAGAGATCCTGCACGGGGAAGTATTGTGCGTTGTCGGGGATAAACACGACGGAGGCAGACTCGGAAGCGGGGCTGAGGGTGCCCGACGAGGACTGCGAGCCATAGCCCTAGGATTTAGTCAAATCCGTTTGGCTGTAGCCATAGAAATTGCATTCAAATCTATGGCTGTAGCCATAGGGCGTGGCGGTGCTGATGTGAACAACGATCATTATGATCGACAACCTGTGATTGTGATTGACACCCAACAGCTAGGCAGTGGTTTCAGTGAGGATTGAACGGCTGACCTTCTAAAAATGTAAGTTAAACCAATGCATTATCACACTGAGCTAAACCGCTGTTAAACATTTGGCAATTTCCCTCAACTTAGGGTAACCCGCAAGCGGCTTACCCTAAGTGGAGGGAAAGCTTTATCCTAGTACTGGTTATACCAACCCCTTATCACCCAATAAACATATTTCTTGCCCCAACCAACCCTAATAGAGCCTCTAACAGGATTTTTTTTTTGCTCCCTTGCCCCAACCCTAACTGACAATAAATATATTTCTTACCCTAACCAACCCTTACAGAGCCTGTAATAGGCTTTTTTTTTGCTACCTTGCCCCAGCCATAACTGAGAAAAAATGACGTCTCTGGGGACTAACCTTTAACCCAAACCCAAACCCTAGCCTGAACCACTAACCTCCGCGCCCAGAGGGGCGCGGCTTGTTGAAGACAGTAAGGCCGATCAACACTTTATGTTGAGGGATCATGGTGGTGCTGATGGCAATGATGATCTTGCACATGCCATGGTGATGCCGAGAAAAGCAACAGGACCAAAGGCCTGCCACGCTATGGCTGTAGCCATAGCAGTATTAGTCAAAGCTATGACTGTATCCATGCTATGGCTACAGCCATAGATTTGAATGCAATTTTTATGGCTACAGCCATAGATTTGACTAAATCCTAGCACTATGGGTGAGGACTGGGGCGAGGGGAGGGTGAAGTGGAAGGGAGCAGCGAGCTCCGAGGGTGGTGTCGACGCGCCGGAAGACGGAGGAGAATCCACACAACGCACACCTTTCGCATCACACCGCACCCACGCCGCCGTCGGCCCGTCGCGCACCACATACTTCGGCCGGAGTCCCGACTCCTCCATCAGCCACGGCACCTCGTCGCGGTGCCTGCTCTTCACGTGCCGGATCTCGGCGGCGGCGTCGGAGAGGGTTTCTTCGCACGATGGCTTGCGGCACATGAAGCGGATGCGATAGCTGCGTGAATGTCAGACTCGGCTGTGGAGGGGTAAAGAAACTGGTGCACGCACTGGTCTTTCATCTGGTGGGTGTCCATGTTCTGTTTGGTCGAGGCCATGCGATTGCAGGTCGTTCCGTCTTCGAGCTTGACACCGCAGGGTCTGTGAAATGATTCAGTCGGTGAGATGGAGGAATCGCGGGGTGGAAACGCACTCGGTGTACTGGAGGAAAAATCGAGTCAGCTTCAGATCGCAAAGTCTGGGACGCAAAAAACACTCACAAGCTTGCGGGGTCGGCATCCGGCGAGCCTGAACAGCTTTGGGGAGTTCGATTTCGGCATGGCTGGTAGCAAACGGTAGTTTTCGAGTTGGTTATAGCGCTGGGGTGATTGGGAGAGATTTGGCTGGCCATGCAAAGTGCCCCCAGCTTTATCCATGCGCCGAGCGCCTGCATTGAAACGGGGTAGCCCAATGCGGGCTTCTTTCCTTTGTCGCTTAGATATGATGGGAGTGTTCACCTTCCTAAAGCGGACTGATGGGAGGGAAGCTTTGGCCTCAAGCCATGGTGCGGTGCTGATCATGATCTGCACTGTGCGCTTGAACACGACTTCGTTCCTCTTTTGGAGCACAATGTACAACGGTGTCGCCCACATTGGAGAGGTTCTGACAGGGCAAATCCTGTGCTCGGCAGACTCTGAGCAGAGCTTTGGATGCGCCGATGCTTCTTGTGCTTGACATCAGGATGTGCCCCAGCATTCCTGGTCTCATCCTTCGCACTCATGAACCGCACCCAAATTTATTCGTCTTGGCAGTGGACGGCCTTCCTAAGTTCTCGTGCATGACTGCATTTGGTCCAAGAACTTCAATTTGTTCGCCTTGTTCGCCCCGTCTTCACGATAGCCACGCCGGATAGCGACGGTACAAATTCTCAGATCACTTTCAGACTCCCGAAATCTTTCGAATCCGACGCCAACTCTTCCTTCGACGCGTGTTTGGCGCTCTTCGCGTGCGAATCCCCGTCATGTGATCGCGTCTGGTCTTTTGCAGCAAGCACTGACGTCATACGCGCTTTGCCGTTTTCTCCCCACATTTTCTGTCTTTCGGGGATGCGCTTCAGAGTCCATTCCTTGCTCATTTCTCTTCTTTACAGGCTTTGTTTCCAGCTCTGGTCCACGGATTACGTCTTTGATTCTACAGAATCACTGTTTTGCTAGCATTACGCATCCTTGCAGTGGTGCCCCCACGCTCCCTGCAAGTCTTCCGGCAAGTTGGATCGTCCGACATCTTGCATCTCTTTCCGAAGTCTACATCCTGACCTGGAAACCTGTAGACGTGTGCCCATGCGATCATGTGCTCGATCGTCCAATTCATTCCATCATCACCCCTCGGCTGATCTAGAATTTCTCCCTCAGACCACGACGATGGTCGGCACTGATATTCATCTCCGGCTTCGAGAGATCTCGGATACGTTATCCTCTCTCGAGCGGCAACTCGTCGCGCTACGCTCTGAGCAACAAACCTTGCTCGTTTCACTACGTCATCCTACCCCTATCCGGTTCCTCCCAGGTGAACTCATTGGCGAAATCTTCCAATGGTGTCTCGCCGGGGGCAGTGGATCTGGATTTTCGAATTCAAGACCGATGCAGCTGGCGAGTGTGTGTCGCGCGTGGCGAGACGTGGCTCTCGGCACGCCACAGCTTTGGACGGACATCAACGTCAGTCCGTTTGTGAAACGGCCTGCGAAGCTCGATCGCCTCGTCGACGTGTCTCTTCAGCGTGGAGGGGCGCTGGGTGCAGACCTGCGGGCTTCGTTCGGAGTTGCCCAGGTGCCGCCGCCGTCCCGGTTCATCAATGTCCTGCAGGCGGCTGCGAGACATCCGCATCGCTGGCGCTCGTTTGAGTTTCAGAGCTTCGATGTGACGGGGCCCCTGGATGTCTTGGATGAGATCGTGTGGTCTTATCTCGAAGTGTTGGCCTTGCAAGGCAACCCGACCCAGAACTTCCCGCCGGCTATCACGGTGTTCCGAAACGCACCGCTGCTTCGGACCGTTGAGCTCGACGGTCTCTGCGCAGCGCATCTTTCTCTGCCTTGGACGCAAATCCAATCTCTGGACCTCAACAACATTCTGGTCTCTCAATGCCTGGACATTCTTGAGCAGACCCCTGGATTAAAGACACTCGTCGCTGATATTTACTCCAGAGAACGCGTCACGCTCCCGCACATCACGCTGCCCGAGCTCACGTCTTATCACGGGTCTGACAACGAGGACTTCACCCTCATCGAGCACCTCATCTTGCCCGTCTTGCAACATCTCCGTGTGACGCATCTGGAGCACGTCCCCGCGCTCCTCGAGCGATCCGGATGCCAAACGACGCTGCAGAGCCTCACGATCGAGTTCCCGCCCAGCATGTACGACCTGGAGCTCCTCCCCGCATTGTCGTGCCTGAAGCACCTGGTCATCGAGCAGGCGGTGTTCGCGGAGACGATCGAGTTCTGCCACTTCGTCAGCGAGTTCCGCACGGGGCAGCTGAAGACTGTGCCCGCACTGGAGACATTCGTGCTCCGGGGCTGCTCGATCCCGTCGTTCAACCTCAGCGTCGCGACTCGCATGGTCGCAGATCGGTTCCAGGACGGCGCTGGCTGCCTGAAGTCGTTCAAGGTCGAGTTTAGCATGCAAGGCCGGGAGGCGGCTGCGTTGGCCCGGACGGTGGAAGAGTTGCGGGAACTGAAGCACCGGGGACTGGATCTCAGTTTTGGGCTCGTGGATGAGAAGCTGCACGCGCCGGAGTTCTATCAAGTCACTGCCGATCTGGTTAGTCGAGCTCCTTGCTTGTATAGCTCGGAACCCGTGCTGATTTTGCTCCAGGTTGCTGCTATGTCTATTTAAGTGACTCCAATGTACCAACTGATCTCCTTGAATGTGCAAGCAGTCTCTGTTTTGAAGCTGTCGCTGTCTTGACCGTGGGAGGTGTCATGCAGGAAGACAGGTCCTGCCATAACGGCTCGAGATGGGTGCATGTACTTGTTGTGTAAGGGACGAAAGTGAATGCGCTAGGTAGTCTTCGATCCTTCGCCACTTTCGTGGCAGTGAGCAGCACATCTTTGCCCAAACTTGAAAGAGCACGGTCCTCCATTATGCCATCTACGCTCTTAGCGGGACGACTAGATCGAGGATACGAGCGGGAATGGCGTGAAGCTCAGACCACAACGCAGCTCTCGGTCCCACAGTTCTGAGTTTCTTCGTCTATGACCGTGGTCTCAACGGATCTGGATTGTGGAGATCGGTGGTGGAGGGGGCACAATTCCGCAGGGGGGGAATCGGTATGTACGAGTGGGATTCCGAGGCTGTTAGGCAAGGATGGTGATGCCCATGGCAGACGGGATCTCTGTATCTTCGCACCCATCCGATATCGCCCTGGTGACCTTCAAATGTGGAGCATTAGACCCGATACGGTTTCAATGCGTGCCTCTGTGAAGATCTTGGCGCCAATACGATTTGCAAAAGACTGGTACATTGGTATGGACTCTGGCGCCTATGGAGCCGACGGCTCGGTCGTGGTTCATGCCCCATCATTCGCAATCGACGTATTGGTCTGCGCAGGGCAACCATGGTAGACCTGGCGCATAGCACTACCGAAGACCGAAACGTGCATGTTCCCCAAAATCAGAATGTTCGTCCAGACATAGAAAGCGCTGGCCCAGAGTGTGAAGGTACGGCTTCGGCTGCCCGGTGTTTGACCCATCCCAAGCACGGTCTAGTCCACATCTAAGCACCGTTTCCCCGCCCCATCCGCTAGACCACCCATACGTCGATGGGCCCGGGGAGAAAGCAGCAGAGTTGCGCGGGTAGATGGACTGATACAAGCGCCAGATTGGATGGATCGAGACTGAGAAAGGCCGAACACGATGTAATTTCAGCCTCGTGGCTTCGACTCGTAGGGTGATCGTGAAACTGCTTGGGAGACGTTAGGGGCCCTGGGCTTGTGGCATGGAATACGAAGAAGGGTGTACAATGTTGCGGTGCATCACTGAGTCAAGAAAATGCGTCTCGGACGGGATCATCGAGGCCGTATGGATGCCTGAGTCGGCGGAATACAGAACGGGCGGGGCTGCTGGACACTGTATGAACGTCGGTGCCACTGCGACGGCCGAAGGGAGGCGACGATGCGCACCATCAAAGACCAGCTCTGATGGAACGTCGCGCGCGCATGATTGAGCTCGTAGATATGCATGGCACAAGTGCGACGCCGATCTGCGATGTAGGCTGCTCTTGCGGTCTTGCGTTGAGAGCGGTGATAGCACGAAGAGGGGCCTCAGAGTTCACGCGTAATGATATCGACATCCTGCGGAGCTATGAGCCTCTGAAAGTGTTACGGCTGGCTGTGAGGGGCGCGTACCTCAGACACAAGGTTGCTGACAGCACGACGCTGTCCCATCTCATATGCAACACAAGCTCGTACAGGAGTGATCAAGGATCCGGAACGTTTCGTGCAGTAAAGCGTCGCAAAAGCTTCGATTCACAGGAACAGACATCGTCCGGTGACCTCGCCGGCGCTGACGTCGAGAAACAGTTGACTTGGCTGCGCCGGGTCGGCCCCTGAGTATCTCGATGAAATCGACGGAACTGGAAGAACGAACTCTCGAATGAACAGATCTATCCACTGCCATTCGCAGTATTCAAGTCTGATGGCAGTAGGACCAGTGGCATTGGGAAACGCAGAGAAGGAAAGTGGAAGGTGACGTAGAATTTGGCTGCTGCAAACATCAAACGCGGTCACATGTTCTTCGGGATGAATGTTGCTGAGCGTTCGATGCGCGTATCAAAGCCCGTGAGCGTCGAAAAGCGGTAGGGTGATAAGTTCCAGATGGATTGAAATGGTAAAAGAAATGAGACGTAAAAGCGTGTCCCCATAAAAAAAATGGGGAGAGCAGGCAGTAAAGCGCGGATAACGTCAGTGCTTGACGGGTACAAAAGACCAGACGCGATCACATGACGGAGATGTGCACGGAAGAGAGCAAAACACGCGAGGAAGAGTGAGCGTCGGATTCGAAATAATTCGGCAGTCTGATAGCGACTCGAGATTTTCTACCGTCGTCATTCGGCGTGGCTAGCGTGAAGACTGGGCGAAACGGGGCTCAAGAACGGTGGGGCCTAATACAGTAATATATGAGGGAAGTGTGAGGAGACTGTCTACTGCTAGGACTTGTCAATCAGAATAGGACATATCCGTCTGAAGGATGAGGCCATGAATGCTGGGGCACATCCTGATGTCAAGCACAAGAAGCATCGGCGCATCCAAAGCTCTGCTCCAACTCCAAGTCTGCCGAGCACAGGATTTGCCCTGTCAGAACCGCTCCAATGCGGGCGGCACCGTTGTGCATTGTACTCCAAAAGAGGAACGAAGTCGTGTTCAAGCGCACAGTGCAGATCATGGTCAGCACCGCACCATGGCTTGAGGCCAAAGCTTCCCTCCCATCAGTCCGCTTTAGGAAGGTGAACACTCCCATCAAATCTAAGCGACAAAGGAAAGAAGCCCGCATTGGGCTACCCTGTTTCAATGCAGGCGCTCGGCGCATGCATAAAGCTGGGGGCACTTTGCATGGCCAGCCATATCTCTCCCAATCACCCCAGTGCTATCACCTACTCGAAACCCACCGTTTGCTACCAGCCATGCCGAAATCAAACACTCCAAAGCTGTTCAGGCTCGCCGGATGCCGACCCCGCAAGCTTGTGAGTGTGTTTTGCGTCCCAGACTTTGCGATCTGAAGCTGACTCGATTCTGTCTCCAGTACACCGAGTGCGTTTCCACCCCGCGATTCCTCCACCTCACCGACTCAATATTTCATAGGCCTTGCGGTGTCAAGCTCGAAGACGGAACGACCTGCAATCGCATGGCCTCGACCAAGCAGAACATGGACACCCACCAGATGAAAGACCAGTGCGTGCGCCAGTTTCTTCACCCTCACAGCCGAGTCTGACATTCCCACAGCTATCGCATCCGCTTCATGTGCCGCAAGCCATCGTGCGAGGAAACCCTCTCCGACGCTGCCGCCGAGATCCGGCACGTGAAGAGCAGGCACCGCGACGAGGTGCCGTGGCTGATGGAAGAGTCGGGGCTCCGGCCGAAGTACGTGGTGCGCGACGGGCCGACGGCGGAGTGGGTGCGGTGTGATGCGAAAGGCGTACGTTGTGTGGATTCTCCCCCGTCTTCCGGCGCGTCGACGCCACCCTCGGAGCTCGCTGCTCCCTTCCACTTCACCCTCCCCTCGCCCGAGTCCTCGTCGGGCACCCTCAGCCCAGCTTCCGAGTCTGCCTCCGTCGTGTTTATCCCCGACAACGCGCAATACTTCCCTGTGCAGGATCTCCATTACCCAGTCGCGTCCGACGGATTCCAGAACTTCCCCTACTTCCCCCGCGTTCTGCCGAACATGTCTGCGCTGGCGCCGATGCCGATGTACACCAACGACCCGGCTGGGTATTTTCCCGTTCCCGACCACGGGTTGGCGTCCTACATCCCCGGGCCTGATCCGGCGTTCATGTGCGACTTTTCGGTAGGGCTCGAGTCCTACGACGACTTGCAGTTCCATGCGCCGTTCTTCCCCGTCGAGGAGCCGGTCTTCGCTGCCCACCCGGCGGATTTGTTCATGCACAACCTCGGGTGTGCATACCAGACGATCTCTGGAAACTTGTAGGTATCATCGCGGCGCCGATGTGTTGAAATTACTTGTTACGATGCTCCTCGACTACTAATCCTTATGTTACACTCTTGTTACTGTACTATGCCTTATGAAATCTATGTTCCTTATGTAAATCGTCTCACCTCTCTGCAAGATGCAAGTCAAGGTCTCGATCACACCGGTAAGGCGAGATTGAATGCATTGATTCAACCACTTGCTCGCTTCAAAACCTGATCACCGCAGCACTGCGGTCAGTGGAGATCAGTGTGCGATTTCCCTGAAGAAGCGGTTCATTCATGCACCATGGATAAATCGCACCCACTCGACCGACCCCGGGGAAGCTCCCGGGCGCAAACATCTGCATCCCATTCACCAATATATATGTCCAACAGATGAGCTTCGCTCGCTGAGACGTACCAATCGCACCCATGCAGGAGCATAGACACCGAGTCTCAGATCATGCAGTGTTTAAGCCCCACGTCCGCTTTGGGGCCCAGAGTTCCCACATCTCGCGATCACATCCATCCAAAGCTCGTGCGTCTGTAACGAGTTCTCTTGTGGGTTATATGACGATTTCCAAGAACGGGAATGTCCTGAAGAATATGCCTTCACCTCAGCGCGAAGCGATCCAAAACCAGTGACGAAACCGGATGGATGGCAGCCGCCATAGTGACCATTGATGCAAGGACGGACTGTGTATAATGGTTTGCTACTTTCGAAACACGGTGTTCACCGCATGTCCCATGTCCAGCAATCGCTCTACGCATCTCGCTGGCTCACTTCAACATCAATAACGAGCCTCACCGTCAGCCGCCGCTAACAACTCGGGCGCATTCAAAATTATGGGTTTGGCTTGTCCTGCAAGCAATCGACCATTCTCCAAGCAGAAGCTACAAAGAATACGAGGCTTGTTGCGGCCGGAGGGCTAAGAGACATCCTTGATTCAGCTCGGTTCCGCTGCAATGCCTGCGAGCCACATGCATCTCGAAACTCGCTCATATTCAGATGGATGTGGGGGAAGGCCGGTAAAACGTTTGATACTAACCATTGCACCCGAATGGTGCTCGAGCCTGCAGACAATCGGGAATTATAACAGCCCTGCGTATCCGATTCCGCGAGGCAGATCGAGGAAGCGTCACATTGGATCCAGGGCGCTGCGTTGTTCCGAGAGTACACAGAAATGGCGCTTCAGAGTGAGAAGCAGAAGCGACTCGTCCAGAACTAAAGTGAACTTCGAGACGGGTGCTTCTGCACGAAGAGAAAGCGAAGTTGGACGACAGCCTCTCCATATCAGAACGCGATACTTCTAGAGGCTCGGTAGCAAAGCCTCACACCGAGAAGAATGGCCATAGCGTACATAAACAAGGCGAAAGAAGTGGAAGCAAGCAGAGAGTCCGATCCTGGCACCTCCTTGTTCCGCCGGTTGTCATATCCGTAAGACGAGCACGAGGTTTTCGCTGAGTAGATCATCCGCACACAAGTGAATGAAAAAAGGAGGCGGAGGATGTGATGCAAAGGGCCAACGCAAGCTCCTCAATAGACATATCGAGCAGGAGTTCGCGGCAGAGGAAATTTCCAATCGCTCGTGTTTTCGGTCGATATGTGCGGAACGGGCGTCGGAGAAGAGACACAAGAACCAGAAATATATTCCAAACTCGGATCGTTCAAGTTAGAGTGTCAAGTCTGCAGTCATAAGAACCGCGAAGTGGCCGTCGCTGCTGAGAGGCAAGGTCTGTGTTTGGTCGTATTAGTCACTGATGCTAGCCAGCACCTGAGGCTCTAGTTACAATCTTTGAAGGTCATCGTACTGCGATCTCATCGCAGAAATAGCTCATATCGAAATCAAGGCCCCGTCCAGGTCACAACTGTATCAAAGCTTGGTCACCGAGCAGCAACGTGAATCGGAACTGGTCGTTGGTCACGCCGTGGAACCTGGCAAGAGAATCCGAGTTCAATCCACTCGCATCGGACAGAAGGAGAAAAGAACGTTTCAATTCCATCGGGCTCACATGGAGCCGACTGTGGAGCATGGTGCAGTAGAGTCTGAGATCGAAGGATGCGACAGATTCGCCCAAGGCGTATATCAGGATGGATTGCAGCTGGGGTGTCACGATAGGCTGGGAGCCGTAGACGACCAGAGACGCCATCAATTTGCGCGTGAGCTGAGATCCGGCGCGTATCGAGTGGAAAGTGCGCAGCTCAGTGATCGAAGGGATTTGCTCCGACAGCTGGAGGGCAGCGAGCGGGAAAGATATCAAACTCAGTGCACGCAAATGCACGCATGTCGAGCGAGTGACTAGGTCTGTAGCAGTCTGTACAAATTTTCGGCGTCCTCGTGTTCCCCGCAATTGATGATCAAGTCCTCCAGGGCTGGAAGAATAAATGAAGCGCACGGGTACCAGCACGGCGTTCCGGGCCATTGATCCGGAAAGGCTCCACCGGATCTGATCCGGCAGGGGCAAGGTATTTAAAGGAGAGGATTGCATCAAGTGTGACACACCCCTCTGCTTCTTCCCCCATCATGGAGCCAATTCCCAATCAGAAGTGAGTTTCTGTTGCATTCTCTCAGCTGAATGTGCTTATTGATGATTTTGTTCTAGACCGCGTTACATCATGACCAACAATGCCACAGGCAGCAACAACTCTGCAATTTACATCCCAGTTGGCACAACCTGGGCTACAAGGTATGCCTCTACTTCTTCTCTTGGTTGTATTTTTCACTCACAGAAGTTTAACAACAAAGAGCTCAACTTCGTGCACATTCCTTCCATAAGGCCAATACTGCTGGGATATATGGGCGGGGTGGTCGGGCCGTCTCTATTGTGGCGTCTGGCGGATATCCTGATGAGGATCATGGTGACATTCTGTAAGCACTCTGATTTCCATTTTCCTTCTCTTCATTTTTTTGTCAATTTCCCTGCACATTTTCTCTTGCTTTATGTCGCCTTATTGGGAATGCCTCAAATGATGAAGCACCCACTGTTGCCCATCTATCACCTCATTCCTGTTTCATACATTTCTTCATATTTTGGCTCTCTGCTGAGAGTTGATGACTGAGGCACATAACATGTCCCAGTTGTTAATTGATGAACTTCTCTTGTTGTCATCATGGATCATAGCAGCACCTGTGTCTGACACATACATTGAGCAATATCAATTCTGAAATCTCAGAATTGGTATTTGACAATGCTCCTGTTTTCTGTTTCTCCACCTTTAGACTGGAACAGTGAATATTTTGGGGTGGATGATTCTAAGTGCTGTCTTTGCTTCAAGTTCAACTGAACTCTGATTCATGAGATGACAAAGATATTATTCCAGATTATGTTTACCAGATGCATCCAGAGCTGGCAGGTGGATCTAATTGCAGTAAACATCTTTGCTTTCCTCTGCTTTTCTCTTGACATTCCCTTTAATAATATTGATTGACTGACTACCACTTTCATTTTTTATAGGATTTATACTGGCACTGGTATCAAAAACTCTCCTCAATACCCCTTGCTTGGCTGCTAATAGACTTTCAGGTGGCAAGGAGAATACTCGTTTTGGAGTGAGTCTGACTGTTCAAAATCCCATTCCTTTTGGCACAGCTTACAACCTGGTAAATTTGAGTGTTCTGATGCTCACAAAGCACACAGGATGGTCCACAGGTTGAAGATCAAAAATTCAGCCACCCCCATAACAAATGGCTTAGGGTCAGAATCTGCATACATCAAATGCTTACAGCAAAAATACTAACCAATGATCTAGAGTGCAATGTATAGACAAACTCCAGTCCATGTCATCCGTGGCAAGAACAGCAACAGTCTCTGGGCACCAGAAGATGGGTGTGTCTACTATCTTTCTCTCTTCCCATTCAGGTATTCAAAGATAACACAAAACACAGATATTGTTATGATGGCAAGTATCTTGTTACTGATGCCTATATGGACAAGAGTCCAGAGGATGGACAGTTCATGCTTTGCAAGTTCCGCTTAGAGGTCAGTTCATATATTTCTATTGCAAAATATTGGGTGATTGATATTTTACTAGCGTGTTCCAGGCCAGCCACAGTTAACAAAGAACAGGGAAATGTAATCTTCAATCAATAACTTCAGTATCATGGTTGAAAAGATCAGTGTGACAAACAACCCAAAATAAGAGTTGAGAAGAAAAGTTTATTGTAGGATCAGAGAATACAATACTCAGGTCCAAGTCATATCTAAAATAGTATCGCGGGAGGCCGCTGGGTGCTCGCGAAGAAGACAGCGCACGTCAATTTTGATTCGGATATCTACGAGCCCAGTTGTCAAATCTATACTGGAGGTTCTTGCCTCCGAGATTCTTTACTCTAGAATAGTCAAATGAGCCCATAATGGCAATGTCATTCAGAGCTTTAACTCGGGAGAGACCGACAAAGGTCAAACCGACAGCAAACTCCTTCTTTCCCAAGCCCAACCTGATCTTGGCAATTGTCAAGCCCTGGGACTTGTGTACCGTGACTGCCCAGGCCAGTCTTAGTGGAATCTGAACTCTGGAAACCTGCTTCCCGCCCACATCGAAGGTGGATTTCACGGCTGGGACTGGAACAATCGGAATGCCATTCGGAAATCCTGGGCGGGGTTCAGTGCGCCACGACGTCGGGCCGGTATAATCTTTGCAGGAGACTAAGACCACTTCTAGCAGGTCTGAAGTTGTCGCACCCGGCGGCCATATGATGTCCTCCACAGTCCCGACAGTTGCATTCACCAGCCCCTGCTCCTGCCATAGATTTCGCGTGATCATGACCTGACTCCGGCACGATAGAATGAGTTGAGCCTCCAACCCACCGGCATCATCAGCGCTGGCTCGAGCCGCCTCGGATCCACCATCATGACGCGCCTTGATCCTTGCGCATGGTTCTCCGAGAGCTTGGATCTCTTGAAGATTGATGGCATTGACATCTTCGCGCGTGGTGAATAGACAAAGGGAGTCCTGGAAAGATGCTTTCTCCGCCTCATTCAGATTCGAGAAACATCTTGTTTGCAGCGTCTCCCATTCAGCAACACTTAGACTTCCTTTCGAGGCATGGTGAAGGAGATTTCGGAAGGCTGTTTGCTCGGGGGAATCGCCCTGTTGACGATGCACCACTCGGAGTCTATAGCTCTCAGTGAACATTTGATAGAGGCGACTTCCATCCCGGCTCATAGAGCCGCTGTCGCTCACATCTGTTGAAGGTGGCGCATAGAGAGGGCGATCGCCGACAGGGGGGAGTTGGGCGAAATCACCGACCAAAGCGAGATTTAGGCCACCAAAGACATTGTTCGACCGGTGCGGGAGTATCTGACGAAGTCGAGAGTCGATCTGAGAGAGAGTCCGCAGGCCCAGCATTGACTTCTCGTCGATGATCACGAAATGAGCTCCTCTCCACTGTTCCTGAAGGGTGGCAAGTCGCGTCCCGGTCAAGGGCACAAAGTTCGAAATTGACTGGGAGGCCAAGAGCAGAGTGGATTGTACGTCCACGGATATTGAAGGCAGCTACACCCGACGGTGCCAAGACGCGTATTGGATCTGGCTGGTCATGTTCCGCTGCTAGCCGCCGGAGCTCTTGACAGATCGCATGTATCAGATATGTCTTGCCACATCCGGCCGTGCCGTCAATGTTCAACAGCGCTTGAGACCTCTTTCCTCCAAGTAGTTCGAGAGAATATTGCCCCATTATCTTATCAAAGATGTTGCGTTGTTCCTCAGCCAATGTATCGATATTGATCGCACGGATTGCGCTCTCGTCGGACTGTCCACCGTATTCTCGTCTGTTCGTGTCAATGTAAGACAGCATTTGTTCAACCTCGTGCCAGCGACCGCGTCCTGCTTCGGGCATCAAGGCAGCATCAATTGGACGGGATCCAAGATCATTTGCATCAAATTGGGGGAGATGGGCGCCGGGGAAATCACGCGCAAATATCTGCCAGTCTTCTTCCCCCACCTCGTTGACATCGGGGTTGATTTCTTCGTCGTCATCATCATCTTCGGTCACTCTGTTCTCGTTGTCCCAGTCACGGAGCGAGTCCGTGCGATGTGTATGGCCTGCCGCGCGACATTGTGCCCAGAGTTCAGGCCACGACAATTCCCCGTCGACATTCTCCTCGTTTGGAGGGTTCTGGAGTTCGTCGAGGGATCGGAAGGGATGGTGAAGCAGGATCTTGGTCCGGCAGTACTTGGGATATACATCGCTGTCCGGATTTGGGGAATAGCGTGGAAAGGTGCGTAGAATAACATTCTGTTTCCGGCGCTTTCTCCACTCATTGTTGCGCCACAAATAGTTCTCGAAGACTTCTTGAAGGGACTGTCCATTCCCACGGAGCGTTTCATGTATCTCAAAGTCTTTCAATACAATGCCCTTTGACCATGAAAGAGCACGCTACCTTTGAATCCATGAATCACTTGTTACTCGGCGGCCACCCTCTTGAGGCTCTTCCGCCTCCTCGGGGGCTTCTTCACCTTCATCCAGCTCTCGCATATCACCCTCCTCTCCGATGTACAGAGTCTGGAATGCCACAGAGGTTCGAACTAACGGAATGCCAAGCAACAGGTGCGCCGTCTCTTGAGCAGAGTAGCTGCGTTCACCCAACATCTTGTTGAGCAGTTTCTGGCAGGCCAATTGAGCTGTTGCACCGCTGTTCATGAGCTTTACAACGCCATCGAGCATCTCGGGAAAAGCGGGAGCTTGTTGCTCCGACTTGCTGGCATATTTTGCAATGTAACTAAAAGAAAGGTCAGTCTAAGTTCTGGAGCACCCGGAGCGAAACACTAACTTAATTGCAGCGTCTTTACTGAGAACCGGCTTGAGGTCAATGTTCGCTCTCCAAGCCATCAACATTGCGCGATTGTAGTTGTTGAGCAGGGGGTCATTCCTGCGAGGCTCGAATCGCAATCGACTCTTGCTATCGCGACCAATGACCGCACAGTCAGGGTGGCAAGGCATAGGATAATCAAAGCGACAGCAAATCTGAGGCTCCTCCTGACCAGGGACTTTTCTCTTCACCTGACAGTACCTGGCAACGCATTTGCTGTGTCGTTGAACCCAATTAAGAAGATCCGCCAACTCCTCGTTTGTGTTGATCATTCCCTCCGTCGGTTTACTGCACGGGTTGCCTCCCAGAAGAGGTGCGTTCGGGTCTTGTCTCAGGACAGGATTGAATGCAGAGACGATTCGGTCCCAGAAACTCTTGAACTCCGTCATTTTCTGCTGCTGATCTTCGGAAACTGGTGAGTCAACTTGTTTCAAGAGATCCCAATTGATATCTTCGGGTCTAGGTGCGTTCTTGAGCCACAGGAAGCCATGGACATGACCACTGCCGCGCTCCTGCCACTCATACCGGTACCAGAAATCCGATATATCGAAAATCTTGCCCATGACATGTTTCATGAACAGCTGAACACGTTCATCCAGGTAGGATGCAGCGAGATGCGGATTTTTCTCCAGTGCCAATCTCCGCTGACGTCATTCCGCTGCTGGATTTCCCGCAGGTGCGTCCGTTTCTTTGGGCATATGGTGATGCAGATCCGGCCACTGCAGGTCCGCAGCGCTGAGTGTAAAGAAGAGGTGGGGTGAGCCTTTCACTCTGATCATGTCCGTGAGCTCATTGCGGCGAGAATGCCAGAATGCTCGGGTGCCACGGAGCTTGGTCCCATAACGAATCATCTTTCGAGCAATTGATTGATCTCCTTCCTCCAGTAAGGCCTTCAACTCTTCGGAGGTCATGCGGCCGGCATCATGATTCTGTTTCACAAAGATCTTGGCCTGGCTTTTAACCCTGTGTCGCTGAAGGGTGTTGAATGCGAACCACGGGAATCTTTGATGTCGAGCAAATCTTCCCCCCTCAAAACGCAGTAGGTGCTTGAAATATTCTCCTAGTTCGATTTTGCGTTGACGGGGTGCGAAGAAGTCTCCAGTACCATTGGGAAACAGGGTAGGGAATGCGCGCGTCATATAGCCTGGCGTGTATTCGGATATGGGATTAGCGTCAACAGTAGGCGCAGTAATCTTGGGGAAACGTCAGTGTCATGGATTAGATTCGATTAACCGTTGATACTGACCACAGTCTGTTCGTAGCGGAGACCAGATATGGCTCGATTGGCTCCGTCACGAATTTCGGTAACCTCCTCTCGCACTGGGTTGCCCAGATTTAAGACACCACCCACAGTCGTTGCTGATTCTCCCTCTTCATCATTGTCGCCCGAAACAGCCGCTGCCTGAACAGGACCCGCAGGCATTGCTGCTTGTCCATCCTGCCGACCTTCCCGGCATACAGAAAGTCGGTTTACCACACTGCCATTCAGCGGCAACTGTGACAGGGTGGCTTCATCCGGTGCGCCCAAGTTTGCGTAGTCAGGGTCATGTGCAATCTTGTATTCGAGGGCATCGCGAACTTTATCTCGTCGGACAACATAATCAACGTGCTGGGATAGATCGACGCCTTCTCTGCGGATGATGACAATATCTATATCCTCAGGGAGTCGAGGTAATTTAGCAGCCACATTTTCGATGTTCTGGGGGAAATTGATGATGTGGTCTTTGTACGAGAGCTGGCGGCCTTTCGTCCATCGAACTTGCATGATGGTCTTGGTTCGTGCAATGAGCATTTCCTCCATGTCGGTCAAGTTCTGAAGACAGGGAGGAACACGGGAACTTGGCACTGAGAGGGTATGAGTGAGATAATCCAGATCGCATTGATGAGACTCACTTGGATTACAGTTGTTTGCGTCAGACCAACGTTTGACCTCATTTGTATCCGCGGTGCATCTTGCACAGATTTCCTGAGCGGTCAAATGGATATCGAAGCCCTCTTCTCGACAGCAAGGGCAGTACTGGAGCTTAATACCATCCAGGGCTTCTCTGAACTCTCGAACGGCAGACTCAGCCTTTGAGTCCAGGGCTGCGTCTTCTGGGAGGTCGATGTTCATATCTGATCCGTCTCCAAAGAACTGATCAAACTCATCCAGCACTTGAATCCCTTCGTCTCTGTCATCGCCGATAGCGCCTTCTCCATCATCAACATCAGGTCGATGCCTCGATTGACGGGCGGCGGTCTCCTGGGCCTTCTCCCGTGCACGGGCTCGACATTCATTGCAACTAGCATAGACCCTGCCACCCTCTGTGCATGCATCTGTGGTGACCTGATGCGCTCCGTGATAGCAGTAGCGCAATCCCAAAGCCTCTGCCTGGGCTCGTCTTCGGATTCCGCGCTCCATGGCTTTGTCGCGACACGGCTTGCATGTGCGATGAAGACCATTTCCGTTTGGCTTCTGGAACTTCGAATGTTTCTTGATTTTCTTGCAGGCTGTGCAGCGCTCTTTTTTCCGGCAAGAGCGACATCGTCTGTGCGGGGGACCACCGACATTGTTGTAGGATGCAACGGGAAAAGCCTCCTGGCAGAGCCCGCATGCTTTCTGAGGGACCGGAGGAGGCATCGGGCCATTGGTCTCGTCTCGGAGGACGCAAAATGCCCGTCTGTTTCCATCTCTTTCAGCCTGTTCCAATAAACAGAGACGACAGCTATTGCGGATCGGGTCAAAATGGTGATAGGTGCGCTGAACGACACAGGTGCAGTGGGGACAGATTATATTGGTGCTGATGCTGGGACCACGGAGGGTAATGCGCCGAATGAGGGGAATTGTATCAGGCATGAGTGCAAGTGGCAGAGGTGGAGCATTGTCTGTTCGAGGCAATTGGACATCGTTCGCTGGATTTGGTCGTGTCATGACAGGCACGTGATCGTTCCTCGAACGCGCTTTGGGATCGAGACGCGCGCCGGTAGCATACAGTCCCAGGGTGTAAGGGCAACCTCGAGGCCTGATCTCAGAGTCCTGACAAGGGAGAGTCCAAAGCGTCAGATAAGAGGATCGACTAGTACAGGAGACTGGCAAACCTGACAAGGGAGAGTCCAAAGAGAAACCGAGTTGGGGACTCTCCTTGTCAGGGCCCACTATATATAGCCTACAGAACAATGGATGACCAAGCACAATGGAAGCGCCAGACAATAGGGCCAGGGAACAATGAGGGGCCGGATCGGGGAGAACAATGGGAGCCGGACCGTCGGGACAATGGGGGTCCGGGCCGGAGTGTCATGGGGACGTGCTTGGCAGGGAAGTCCGGACCGAAGCATGTGACGCTTGACAGATGGCACGTGCGCGGTCACATGCGAGATCCCATGATGATCGGACGAAAGCAGGGGTTCCCCTGACATCACCCCCCCTCTTGATTGCGGCGCCTCGACGCAAGGTACGGTTAGGGGCCGATGAGTTCCTGAAGGGTAGCGAGTCGAATACGGCTGCTGCAATGACGCGTGGCTTTCCCGGGTATCTGCGGTAGAACGCTGCCACTGCGTCGTCGGCAAAAACATCTGAGTGCTTGACCCACTGGTCATGAGACGGGTCGTAGCCCTTCCATCGTACTCGGAACCAGACACTCCGGTAGCGCATCTTTGCGTCTAGGATCTCCTCCACTTCCCACTCCTCTCCTTCGCCTTGTCCCAGGACGGGGGGTGGTTCTTCGTGACGCGGGCGAGTGGGGAACGGGTCGTCTTCGGCCAACTGGAGCTTGACCACAGGGAAGACTGGGTGGAGGCGAGAGAGGCTGGTGGGGAGGGCGAGTTTGTATGCGCCCCGGCCTACGACTTGGGTGACTTTGAAGGGGCCCAGGCGTCGGTGGGAGAGGCCGCGGGAGGGTCGCGTCGTCGTGATGTCCGAGGCGTCGAGCCAGACTCGGCTGCCAACCTTGATGTCGGGAGCGGCGGTCCTTCGTCGGTCATAGTACCTCTTGTACTCGTCCTTTGCCTTGACCAGTGCTGATTTGGCCTCGGTTACGCCCGATGCGACCCGATCCAGAAACTCGTTGGCGGACTCTGCTCGGGTGGAGCGCTGCTCTGTTGGCTCGAATCCCATGCGTGGTAAACGTCCCGTGTCCGTCATGAAGGGAACCTGTTGGGTCGAGGAGTGGACGTGGTTGTTGTAAGCGAACTCAGCTGCGGGCAAGAGCTCATCCCAGTCGTCCTGCTTGTAGCTGGTGAAGATCCGGAGGTACTGCTCCAACTCCTGGTTGACCCGTTCGGTCTGGCCATCAGTCTGCGGGTGGTAAGCGGTGGACGTGGCAGGGGAGACGCCAACCAGCTTCCATAGCTCTTGGGTGAAGTCTGCCACAAACTGAGGGCCACGGTCCGAGACGTATTTGATGGGTAATCCGTGGTGTCGCCAGACATGCTTGTAGAACAACCGAGCCATCCCTTCGGCCGAGAGGCGAGTGTGGCACTCGATGAAGTGGGCACGCTTCCCCAGCATATCAACAACCACCATGATGGCGTCGTAGCCGTGCGCCTCAGGCAGCTCCACGATGAAGTCCACCGACACCGATTCCCAACGTTCCGAGGGGATCTCCGTGGGGTGAAGCTCTCCGGTGGGGAGTCGTCGGAGGGCCTTGGTCCGACAGCACAGGTCGCAGGTGGCCACGTACCGGCCAACATGTCGTGAGAGCTGGGGCCACCAGTAGTTCCGGGAGACTAGTTCCAGCGTCTTGAAGCGGCCGGCATGCCCCGCAACGCGGGTGTCATGATGTTGCTCAAGGATGCGTCGCCGTAGGTCTCTGTCGCGCGGGACCACTAGCTTCCCACGGAAGTAGAGGAGGCCGTCCTGGATGCGCCATTCCGCTGCTACAGCGGAGCGGGCCCCCTTCATCCCTTTCAGAAGCCGTCGCGCTATAAGCGCAAGTTCTTCCTCAAGGTCAGGGTCACCGGAGAGCGATTCCCGAATGTCACGGACAAGCGGGGCTTCCGGGCCAGAGACGGACAGTCCTTCGAGTGCTCGCACATGGAACAGTTCCGGTTTCAACAGGGTAACGTCCGTGTTGTCCGAAGGGGCTCCGTGGTCCGGGCGTCGGGAGAGTGCGTCTGGTCGTCCCATGAGCCGGCCGGGTTGGTGGTGGAGCGTGAAGTCGAAGCGGGATAGGTAGAGCGACCATCGGGCTTGCCGGCGATTGAGGTTCTGGGCCTTGCGGAAGTACTCCAGGTTCTTGTGATCGGTCCAGATCTCCACCGGGTACTCGGCGCCCTCCAAGAAGTGCCGCCACTCCTCTAGAGCTCGCACAATTGCAAGCATCTCTTTGTCGTGGATCTCGTAGTTGCGCTGGACGTCGTTAAGGCTTTTGGAGAAGAAGGCGACTGGGTGCCACTTGTCGTCTGAGGGGGACTGCTGCGAGATGACGGCTCCTGTGGCAAAATCGGAGCTGTCAGCCTCTAGGCGATAAGGACGGGAGGAGTCTGGGAGGAGAAGAACCGGCGTAGAGGTGACTGCATCCTTCAAGGCCTGGAACGAAGTGGACTCGTTGTCGCCCCAAGACCATGGTACGTCCTTCTTGGTGAGGTCAAAGAGCGGGCGTGCAACGTGCGAGAAGTCCCGGATAAACCTCCGATAGAAGTTAGTGAACCCAAGGAACTGCTGCACTTCCTTCTTGTTAGAGGGGGCCGGCCATTCGGCTACGCCTGCCACTTTGACGGGGTCCATCTCGACGTGGTTGTGGGAGATGATCACGCCGAGGTACTCGATGGACTCCATCTCGAATTCGCACTTCTCGGCTCGGAGGTACAACTTGTTTTCGCGGAGGCGCCGGAGGACTTCGTTCACAATACGACGATGGAGGTGAGGATCGGAGTGCGCAATGAGGATATCGTCCAGGTACACCATGACGTCGCCCGAGAGGATGAGGTCCTGGAGGATGTCATTCATCATGGTCTGGAACGTCGCAGGGGAGTTGGTAAGGCCGAAATACATCACCAGTGGCTCGAAGAGCCCACGGTTGGTCCGAAACGCAGCCTTCCACTCGTCTCCTTCTCGTATCCGTACGTTGTTGAAGCCCCATCGAACATCGAGTTTGGTGAAGAAGCGGGCACCCTTGAGCTTGTTGATCAGGTCGTTGATCAAGGGGAGGGGGTACCGATTCTTCACTGTCATTGCATTCAGTGCCCGGTAATCCTGGACAAACCGTAGGCTGCCATCCTTCTTCTTGACAAAGAAGACGGGGGAGGCCATGGGGGACTTCGAGGGTCGGATTCGGCCGGTGGCCATGCCTTCTTCGATGAAAGCGTCGAGCTGCTTCTGCTCCAAGGGGGAGATAGGGTAGACCTTGCAGTTTGTTGGCTTTGCATCGGGCACCAGTTCGATGGCGTGGTCCCAAGGGCGACGTTCCGGAAGATTGTCGAAGGATTCCTTGCTGAAAACATCCTCGAACTCGCGTGCCCACCCGGGTATGGAAACTCGAGAGGGGGCGGAGTTCTTGGCAAACGCCTCTGCAAGACGCTGGGAGACGGTGCTAGTGGCTCGGATGTTTTCAGAAGGGTTGAAACGGGTGTAGAAGATACGGTCACCGGTTTCCAGACAGTCTTCCTCTTCATCGGAATCTTCTCCGTCGTCTTCCTGGAGTAGCGGCATAGCCTCGTCTTCGCGGTCTTCCATGTCGACAACGCAGATGGAGGGGGCGGGGCCTTGTCGGGCCGACCGGAGTGCCCGGGCCGAGATTCGGGCTATCCGTCTCTCTTGGCGAGACTCCTCGGTGCAGGTGGAGCAGCCGGACGGGCAGCGGCTCATCTTTACTTCCTGCGTGTCCCAGTTAATTTCCGGGTTGTGCTTCCGAAGCCAAGAGTAGCCGAGGATCAGCTTCTGCTTGCCAAGCCGAGTGACAGCAAGCTGGACCCGCTCACTGTGTCCTTGGTAACGCAGGACCACATCGGCGACTTGTCGAATGGAGCCAGCTTCGTTTGGCGTGCCGTCCACATTGTAGACTGGGATAGGCTGGGAGAGCTGCCGGACCGGAAGTCGGTTTTCGGAGGCGTAGGTGGAGTCAATGAAGTCCGACGTGGCGCCGCAGTCGACCAGTCCGTTGAGAGAGAGCTGGACTGCGTTGTCGGTGGACTGGATCTCCAGGGGGAGGTGCAGGGAGTTGGCACCAGGGGAGGCCGCAACTACATAGCGCTGAGGGAGTTTTCGTTCCCACTTTTCCTTGCGGACCAGCGGGACTGAGCGGGGGGCAAGAGGTACGTCTACCGTTTCGTTTGTGGGGGAAATGAGGTCGCATTCATCATACAGACATTCGAAACGATTACGTGAGGCGATCGAGGGCGTACTATTCACTCGTCGCGGGGGAGAAAACCCTGCTCCGACTCGTCGGCGATCTCCGCTTCATGCTCTTCTACGGCCGCTGTGGTTGCTAGCCGGGCTACTAATTCCGCCAATAAGTCGCTTCCCAGCTGATTGATCACTTCGTCCAGGACGTCGGTGTGCCGGACATCAGCGGGGGTCGGACAGTCTCGGGCCAGATGTCCCGGGCTGCCGCACCGGAAGCATGTGCGACGAAGACTGCTGCGGGCTCGGGTTCGGTCGATATCCATGGGAATGCCCGGTGGGAGGACTACCGGGGCTGGTCGGGGAACAGGGGGTGGGGCGACCACCGGAGGAGCCATGGGGCGAGGGCGGGGGGCCGCAGGAGGCGGAGCGCGGGATGGAGAGAACACCTGTCCTCGTGCAGCTCGGGCAGCCACCTCGGCGTTGTACTGGCGGAATGCGCGGGTACGCCACTCCGAGTAGTTTGTGAGGCTAGGCGGGTTACCGGAGGTCGTGATCGCCTGATTGATTCTGGGGTCCAGACCCGCCCGGTACTTGGTGACCTTGACCAAGTTGTCAGAGTAACCCGCCAGGTCGAGAAGGTCGTCGAACTCGTCCGTGTATTTGAACACGTCGCGGGATCCCATGTAGTAAGCGTGGGTCTCCAGTCGTGCCAGGGCGTGGTCTTGCTCGTTCTCCTCGACAAACCGGAGCTTGAACTCGGCCACAAAGGAGGACCAGGTCGGAAATGGGAAGACGAGGCGTTCTGACATGCGTTCTGACCAGGAGGCCGCCGAGTCCTTGGACATGTAGGAGAGGGCGAAACGTACCACCCGCTCTTCTGATACCACCCCGTTCACATGGAAGGCCTCAGGGAGGAGGCGCCAGTACTGCTTGACGGAATGGAGAAACGTCTTGCCCTGGGTGCGATCTCCATCAAACGCGAATGGGGGATTGGGGCGGATGAGGGGTCTCGAGCTGGCCTGTTGGCCAGTAAATACACCTGGACCCGCTGCCGGAGACGGGGCAGGGACAGGGGCAGGCTGTTGCTGTTCGATTATGAAGTTGTTGAGGAGTCCCTCTATTCGCTGCATGGCTTCCTCTAGATTACCAAGTCGCTGCTCAGGGGAGGACCCGTGGTCTTCTTCTTCCATGTAGGACATGATGATCGTAGAGGGGGAGGAGGGGACAAGATTGGAAGTGAGAGGCGTATGACGCTATCGGCGGTCTTCACAAGCTTGTCCAGTTATCCCTAGGAACTCGGTTTCTGCTGTAAGGGCAACCTCGAGGCCCGATCTCAGAGTCCTGACAAGGGAGAGTCCAAAGCGTCAGATAAGAGGATCGACTAGTACAGGAGACTGGCAAACCTGACAAGGGAGAGTCCAAAGAGAAACCGAGTTGGGGACTCTCCTTGTCAGGGCCCACTATATATAGCCTACAGAACAATGGATGACCAAGCACAATGGAAGCGCCAGACAATAGGGCCAGGGAACAATGAGGGGCCGGATCGGGGAGAACAATGGGAGCCGGACCGTCGGGACAATGGGGGTCCGGGCCGGAGTGTCATGGGGACGTGCTTGGCAGGGAAGTCCGGACCGAAGCATGTGACGCTTGACAGATGGCACGTGCGCGGTCACATGCGAGATCCCATGATGATCGGACGAAAGCAGGGGTTCCCCTGACACAGGGTATTGAATGCTTCATCTATGAAGATACCGCTACTATCCGTATCCATTAACGTCTGGAACAAATCTCAGCAAGAATGGGAGTCATCTGAACAGCCAGCATCGAGTTCTTCGCGTTCTGGCATAAATGCGCTCGAGCGTGCTTGAATTAGCATGAATTACTGTAAGAACTTTACAGGGAGTTCAGAGAGTACTAAAGCATGTTCAGGTGAAGCAGCAATGCATAATACGAAGATTTGAATGAATTTGAGGGAGTGTGCCACTCCCTCGAGTGCCATCAATTTTGTTCTCAAAATTTGTACTTGTTTACTTAGTGCAAACTGACAGCGCTTTAGTGGATGATTGCTCGCTTCGCTCGCAACAAGAATGAGTCATAAGGCTACTGTCCAATTTTGACCAACTGCTCAGAGCTTGCAACCTGTGACCTGAAGAGTTCAAGGTTGAACTGTTCATGGATCTTCTCCGATTGAGATCATGAGATATTTTCTATTTGTTCCTGCTGGTCAGCGTGGCTTAGTGGCTTTGACTAGGAAGTGCCCAAGTGCTGTGAAACATGGTTTGAAACATGTTTTTGGTTCAATTCCCGCTTGTTGCATGTTTGCCAATTATCAAGATATTTATAATCTAACCCATCAATATATCTCAATCAGGCCTGCTGATGGGCCCAGATGATGCCAAAGCCATTTGAAGGTGATGAAGAGTCGGGACAGCATTGAGTAGCACATCACATACATAAGAGTTGTGTCTCAGGCTTGGCTAACTCCTCATAGGAGCTAATCAGTGGTAGAAGTGAACAGCCCTTTCGTCGTTTGTGAATGCCATATGAGTTTCTCACTCATCACAAGTCAGAACAAGATCAACAGCAAGGTAAGTAGAGGTTGGTATTGTACAAAAGCAGTCAAGATCACACTATCTACTCCCACACTCACTGATTCCTGTAAGCCTCCTGTAAAGAACATTTAGAGGCAAGATACGAAACGCAGGGATGACCGACCTTGATTTCGGCATCGAACTTCTTGGTAATCGACACTCGCTGGATCTTTTGGGCGGCAGTCACCAGCCCACTTTCGGGTGTCCACTCATCCGGCGTCAAGATCACCGCAGACAGTGTCTCCGTTGGCTTGAATCCATTCTTCTTCCCGACAGCATTGCATTCCTTGAGAACGAGAGCGACGGCACTGGGGTCTTTGCACAGATCGGCCAGCGGCTTGTCCGACTTGAGGGCATTGCGTAGGTGAGCTTCGTGCGGGATGATGATTGCGATCGGTGCCTTGGCGTCGGGGGTGGCATGCACACAGATGTTCGACACGAGGTTGCAGCCTTTGAATGTCGACTCGAGCTGCTCGAGTGCGATGTACTATGGACGACGGATCAGTGGGCGAAGGAGAGACCACGAGGGAAACTCACTTCTCCACCTGCAAGCTTGACCAGGTTCTTGATACTGCAGAGCCATCTCAGGTTCCCAGAACACCGAGGAGATGAGTTTCGTCACGCACCGGTCGATCAGCGTCAGCGTTCCATCCTCATTCCACTGTCCAACATCGCCTGTTCGCAGCCAGCCATCACCAGGGAAGATGGTAGGGTCCTCGTTGAGGTCCGGTCGTTTGTAATAACCGGAAATGACCGAGTTTCCACGGATGCAGACCTGACATGCGTTAGTCAACAAACATACGTTCACCACAAGCTACGCACTTCTCCCTGTTCGACCTTGGTTCCATTGCGCCCGCAACTGAAGTATCCTGCTTCCGGGACATCCCGAAGCTGCGGCTGAGTTAGAGGCTGATCCGCTCGGGAAGAGAGAAAGGGATTGAAGCTCACCTTGACTTCGTTGCTAGGGACAATCAGTCCGACTGTGTTGAACTGGAAGATCTCAGGGGGCATGACAGCACACATCCCACAAGACTCGGTCATCCCGTAACCTGTTCAGGCGATCAGAGTTGGGGAAGCAGAATAATTCTCGTACGCACCTTGCAACAGCACGACCAGAGCCACACTCAGGAACTCCTGCGTCTCCCTGCTGATCGCAGCGCCACCACTCATCGCAATCCGGAGTCGGCCACCGGTAGCAGCCCGCACGCTGCTCAACACAACACTGTCCGCAATCTGAGAGATACCCGGCAATCCACGACGTTTGGCTTCTACGGCCCCACGGAACACGCTACTTTTCAGTGCTCCGCCCTCCGCGACCTTGGCCATAATACCCTTCCTGATAGTTTCCCAAACAGCAGGGACCCCAATCATGATTGTGGGCTTGAATGCACGCATGTCGCCCACGCAGTTACGCACACTCGCGTCAGTCAATGTCTTGACGCGTCCGAATCCGCTGGGCATCCCGACGAACAGCATGCACAACTCAACGATGTACTCGAGGATGTGCGCCAGCGGGAGATACGCCAGGAACGCGTCGTCTTGCGTCAGATGTTGTCCCAGCAGCGTGCGCACTCCACCGACAGAGGCGACTAGGTTCCCGTGAGTGATTACCACCCCCTTCGGCGCGCCTGTCGATCCGCTCGTGTACATGATGCAGCTGACGGTAGTCGGTGACGGACGCCGCGACTCGAGGATCGACACAGGGAGAGCGGCTCCTCGTTTCCTGACCTCGTCGATGGAAAGGAGGACGATATCCGGCCGGGCTTCGGCCACGGCAGCTTTGTGCTTGGCGCTCGGTTCGCCGTCGAAGATGATATATCGCACGGAGGGGGTGTTGGGGATGACGCTGATGAGTGTCGACAGCAATTCGGCGTTGGTGAACAAACCCGCACAGTGCGGCTCGTTCAGGGAGTGCGTCAGACCAGCCGGACCCAGCGTGTCGTAAGCAGTTGCAATGGTCGTGGATATAGAGCCACATGCATGTGCCATGAGCTGCCAGTTGAGACTGCAAACGAGAGGTAAGCGTCCGGGAAGTGACCATGTGAATGACGTAGGTGGCTAAGAGGGCTGCAGCCAAGCTGCACGAGGCTGGGGAGGCAGTGCAGAAAACGCGTATTGGGAGAGCGCCTCGAGTTCAGAGAGAGGCGTCACCCCAGCCTCAGACATAGTTTCTCCCTTTCCTCGTGCACGCAGCAAAGATGAGGAGACGGAGAAAAGGAGTGGCACGCACCTCGTAGCAGCGAAAATGTTGAACACATCGTCCGTGGTGATGCCCAAATCAGTGAGACCTCTCGCAATCTCTGACACCCGGTCCTTGAGCTCGACGTACGAGATCCACTTGTAGTCGCTGAGCTGGAAATACTTCCATTTCTTCGTCTCCTTCGTCTCCTTCCCGTCGATGACTTTGGTCACCTCCTTGGCCTCTTCGACGATGTCGACAATGTCTCGGTATGCGAGTGCGTTGCGGTTGCCGTGTGTCTTAGCCACGTACTCGAGGATGTCGTATACGGTGTTGATTCCGTCCAAAGGTTGAGACACGAGTTTGTCTGACGCAATAGCAAGGCGGCGCACGGGACCCTCGTTGTCCGCTGCGGCTGGGGAGACCTCGACTGTGCCTTTGCCGTAGTAGCCCGGGCGATTGGTTTTCGTGGTGAATTTCGACATGGGGCGAGTGTCGTTGGTGGAAAGCGTCACACTTGTATGTCGTAATAAGGGCACGCGTGGGGATCAATCCCCACCGCGGCGACTTGATGGGAACACATCATCCTGATGCGACGTATTTTTGTGCCGAAAATGGAATAGATCTGAGCCCATCGCATTGACAAGTTACCACACCCATGAATCGTTGAGCGTGGTCGTTCATGTGGATCCAGACCTTCCTCAAATCTCTTCGGCGCTGTCCACACTTTGACGCGCACACGGCCTTCTAGCTCGTTCTGGCTGTAGAAGGCATTCCAAGTATCGTCTCTGTGTCGCGGTCATCAACCATCGCTGGTGTCGACCTCGGACTGTCCGCCATCTTATTGCTGTCCTTCATGCACGACACTTCCGACTCCGATCCTCATTGATGTGCCGATCAGTAATATGGTGCGCACATGCACCCAACCGGCATACAGAGCCGCACGATGGCAGTTTGATGCATGTGCACTGTTGATCCTTCCGCCCTCGAGAATCCACGCTGTGCAGTCTTCAAACTCGGCAACCTTGTTCTCCGGTTACAGCCATCCCCATTTGCGTAGCCAGCGCTTCTCCTTTGCGGATGCCTTGGCGCATATCTCAGGCTTCGAAGAGCTTATACTGAAACTCGGTCTGGCAAGTCCACAGGTCGACTTCTTCAGCTGCGACTATGAGATCCCGGGTGTGGCGGTAACACACTCTCCACGAGACGGAACGCTGTGTCTTCGACCGGGCCAATGGTTCGGCACAGGTAAAGCTTCGTGTGCACACTGTTGACTGGGTCGGGGCGCGTGATCCGGCTTGACGATGGGTATGGGCAGAATGTGGGGCACGGCCAGTCATGCAATGCACGGGCACATTGATAGGAAGCTGCAGCGAGAGTTTCCACATGTCTCGAGCGGGAGCAAGTGCACCAAAGGATATGATAGCGATAGGAACAAAGAACTACACGACCTTACGCATAGCATCAGCTCAGCGGAATCACACGAATGAGCATAGACACACACCTTGGGCGCCAAACTCGCAATTTTGCCCCAGCCCTTCATCCTCAAGTCCGCACTGACAACCCCACCTATCCGCGTCCCCAGCATTTCCCGCTTGTTGTTCAGTAGCACCGCCGCATTGTCGTCGAAGCGCACCATCCTTCCGTCAGGTCTCCGCACGGCTTTCCGCGTCCGGACAATGACTGCGCGCCGCACATCCCCACGTCGGACCTTGACGGCGGTAACGGACGCCGACGCAGCAGCGGTCACGGGGCGAGCGCGTTGTACGACGACGACGATTTCGTCGCCCACCGAGCCCCAGCCGTTATTGACCTTTTGCTTCAATACGTTCACGCACTCGGCAACAAGGGCGCCGGAGTTGTCTATTATCTAGAGAAGCAGGTTAGACATGGAAAAGCTTGGAATGAACCTGAGGGACGGACGTTCAAAGTTCCCTTGAGTCCGATCATGGTTTTTCAGAATGAGTGGTGAGTGATGTCGTGACCAGAAAATCTGTCACACCTCCCGCTTACTTACCGGTACCCACAAGACGTTAGATCAAGACTTGATTTCGTTCGTCCCCCGCGAGTACAGGACAAGGAACACATCTACGAAATATACGCTCAGCAAGTGATGGAAGCTACCGAGCATTCCCTTGTTCGGCGCTTCAATCATAGCGCACGTGCCCATCGATAGACGCTCACGCTCATCGTGCGCTTTTGCTCTCTTCCCAGCCGTCCACCGGCAGTCATGAGTTCCCAGTATGCAGTGCTGTATTGCAAGACGCAGATCTCTTCTGACATTCGTCAGGTGTGACTCTCTGCCACCCTATTCACAACATGACTCGTCCCGAAGTCGAGCCTGGTGAGCCTGCCTCGACTCCCGAGAGACAGCTCCGATACTATCAAACGAACTTTCAGGGCTCTACAAAGGTCTCAGACGAACGAGAGATCATCTCTGCTCCCACCTGGTGCCTCGCCACGCATGTACTCTGAAAGGAGCGTAAACAACACGATCGTTCTCTCCTCCACCCCCACACGGAAGTTGGACTTGAACTTGGCCTTCCTCGTTCTACTTGTCGTCCAATTCCTGTTTGTCTGCTTCGCCCTTACCACTTGGCCTGTCGAAGCTGCTCTCGATCCGCAGCAGCGCCTCACTCTCCGCCGTTCTTGGGCCGATGAAGCATCCGCACACGAAGAGCTGCACCGCGCCTGGTCGCAGGAGGAGCGATACCAAGAGACTTGGCGGGCTGCCTGGCGCCAGGAAGTGTTGGAGCAGGAGGCCCGGCGGGTCCGTTGGGCGCACGAGCGCGATGAAGAAGAGCATCGGCACGAGCGTGAGCTGGAGCGCATCCGCGCGGGTTTCTCGTGGACCTCGCCCATCCCCGACGCCCACTGTGCGTCGTACGGTGCACGTCAGTGGTCCAGTCGCATCACCAATGTGCCGAGGACGTACGATCCTGTGCAAGCTTGTATGGAAACCGCGGTGGAGATCAACGGTGCGTGGATAAGGAAACCGGACTTTTGTGAGGATCGGGTGGGTCTGCATCCATTTCATTGGAACTCAGTCGCTCAAGCGCTGCACAGGGCTGCAACGGCGTCTTCGGCCATTGGCTCGTTCACCACGGTGAATCCTCGTGCTCGAGCTACTTCAGAAGCTTTGTCGACAAGGGCTGCACTGCCGGCGTATCCCAGCTTCGCGTTCGTGTACACTGCTTCTCCCTTGCGACTTTCCTGACGTCCATCTGCAGCGCATCGAGTCCCGTCTTGAAAACGTCCAGAGTGGCGATGATTGGCGCGTGATGTGCGACACTACACCGGCAGATTTCGGCGGTCAGCATTTCGACCATCCAGACATGTGCGAACAGGTCCGTATCTTCCTTTTCCCGAGCCCTTGTTGCTCTGTGCTGACCTGGTGTAGTCGGTTTGGGGTATCTGGGGGAACTGGTTCTTGCATGACCAGCAGTGTTGACGACTGCCATGTTTTTACTGTTCGCATACGGCCCAGTATTTACCGTACGGTTTGTTGTACAGAAACTTGTGAATTGACGTCATCTCCCTGGGTCTGCCTGTTTCCTCTCGGCCATTCTGTAAGGAACCTCAAAGATGAAAGAGGGACATTCACGGAGCGGTAAGACAGGGACGAAATCACGACTAGGACTAGAAATATAGGGGGGAACAGGGTTTCACAGTTCACCGCAGCCACTGTCTGATTTTTCAAGGACACGGTCACGTGACTGGCTGACATCATTTCGATCACAGACGCGAGGAAGAACAATAGCAAGACAGGAGTACATAAATATAGATACAGTGGCTAACAAATATTTTATTTGGTCAATATAGGGATTATATCGCGGATTTTTTGTTGAATTGCTGCTACCGGTAGATAACCACGGTGGTGGCCGACCACGAGAGATGTTCGAGGCGAAGGACATTCGTCGCCACATACAGCCACATCGGAGATGTGCAATCGAACTTGAGCTGTTGACCTTACATACTTTAGGTATCGCTCTTCTGCCAGTGGACATCAGCGCCAGCGTGTCGACGTGTGCTTACGCTTTATATCGCGTGGCTTTATTCCAGCTTGAATTCACTTCTCCTGTCTATGAATTTTTGATTTTGAGCTGCGCTTGAGGCTTGTCAATCGCGAAGGACAAAGGAGAGGCGCGCTTTGGCCCGCGGAATTGCCCAGTAAGGAAAACCTGTCAGATAAAAAGTGGCTGATTTGGATATCCTTCAAAGCGTGGAGAGTGGTTCGACAAAGCACGAGTGACTCCGTCCAGTCCAAGTGCGGCGTTGGACCGATAAGGCAGGCGCTTCGAGCCCTGCTACAAAGATGCCACCGCATTTAAAGACCTGCTCTGCCTGTCTACTGGCACATCTGTCCTCCCATCCCCGTGTTCAAGTATGCCCAGACACACTGAAAGTCCTTCCGCCAGGGGCCAAAGTGGGTCGCGGCCTGTGAGTGTTTCATGGCCCTCGGGACAATTAGGTTGCTAACGACCCCTTCGATCAAGTACACAAGAAACGCTGCGACGGGGTGGTATGTTCTTATTGTATTTAGTGATGATAGAATCTTGACCTCATTTGTCAATTCAGGAGACCCTACAAGTGCATCTTCACGCTGCCAGACGGATCGACCTGCTTGCACTCCGCATCCCAGAAGCAGAACGTCGAGACCCATATCCGGTCATGCCAGTGCGTCCCCTCCCCTCCCTCTTCATCTCTCCTCAGAACCAATCTGATCCGCTTCTGATCAAGCTTGGGGGTCCGTGTCCTGTGCCGCATCCCTGGATGCTGCGAACTGTTCACCAACGAATCGCTCGAGAACAAACACGTCCGTCGGGTTCACGCGGCGGTCGCTCTGCAGTACATCAACGTGGGCCTGAAGCCTAGCCGCATCGTCGTCGATCCGTCGTCCGCCTCGGCATATTCCATCTACCACGACAGTCCGACATTGCTTGCGGGATATTACTCCGTCTCGTCTACTTTAACAGACGAGTCCGCCGCCGCATCCCCTGCTCCCACCTGCTCCTCCCAGACCCAGCGCGCGCCGGTTTCTACGCTGTCCCCTGCTGCGCAGAATCGTGGCCTGTCCTCAGATCCAGTCGTCGGTGCAGAATTCCTGGTACAATTCGAGTCCGACGACTCGGACTGCACGTCAGATGGCAGCGGTCTCGCTGAGACTCCATCGCCACTGCCTAGTGAAACCGAAAGCAACGTAGACTGGCGCTGGCTCACGGATATCGACCCGAGTACTCTATCCGAGCTCTTGTCGGGATCGTATCGGATGGCAGCTGATGTTCATGGGCCTCAAGCCGGGACGGGCACGTCTCGTGGGTGGGAGGACCCCACTTCGGATTTCCTGCCGCCCCAAGATCAGAGCGGGCTGTCTTGCCTGCCGACACAGACGTCCTTCGAGTGGTATGCTGCCCTTCAGGATATACCCACCTCGACCGCCTACTTCGGGTCTAACAGAGCGGATTGGGACATGCCTGCGTTTGCTACGGCCTATCCAAGGGATCAACCCTCGGAAACAGAGGAGTGGCTGAGAAGCTACTTCGGAGAGGATTTGAGTCGCTGGTAGTTTATAATTCAATCCGCTTTCTGACAGCTCGGACTAGCATCGATATATATTTCATACTTATGTCGTATTTCTTACAATGATCAACACCTACTCCGTGCCCCGTCGTCAGTCCTTGGGAAAAACCGACCAAAATAACTTCTCCATATCATCCACCGCAGATTCGCTGACACGATGTGCGTGGCTGGATGAGCAGGAAGAGGAGATGGTGATAAACGTAGAATTTACACAATACAGCTTCTGTGGCTTTTGTAAACAACATGGTACATGCTATACAGGTGAGTTGGATGAATTGCCTGTTACTACAAGCTGAAGGCACACTCGAGTGTGCCGAACGAGATATCATCAAAATACGGGCCTGAGCAAATGAGCATATGTACGAGGAGAAAGCATAAGAACGCACCAAGGTGATTCAGAATGCTGATGTCCAGTCCATTGTCCGTCGAGCATTCACTGCTCGGATTGTCCTGGCCGGGACACGCCACGAAATCGGCGCTGGGATCGCCCGTGATGTGTACCTCGCCGCTCGAGTGGTGATAGCCCCAGTCGATGAACGGGAGATCCGGAACAGGGTCGTGCTGGTTGTTCAGGAACGTCACCGGCACCGTCGCATCGACGTAGTCCGCCCAGGCCTGGTCCCCCGACCGGGGCATCCCGAATCCGACGACACGCACGTGCACGCTAGAGGGCAGAGACGAGCGCAGATACGCGCCGGTCATCGTGGCGAGCGCTGCGCCCAGGCTGTGCCCGGTGACGACCACCTCGGTCGTTCCGCCACGGACAGCGGATTCGGCAGCGGCGAGGATGGCGGACGCCGTGCGGATGAAGGTCTGCTGGAATCCGCTGTGCACGTTCGCGGCCTTTGCAGCGGGGAAGAACGATTTGTTGGCGGGAGTCAGTTCGAGTTCCGCGTCATTCAGAACCGATTCGCTGCACCCAAGGATCAGAGGCTGGAAGGAGGAACGGACGAGGGCTGCATACAAGTGGATAGGATCTGTGCCTTCGTGCGCAACATACAATACACCGTCTTTTCCCGCGGCAACGTAGTAGAACGGTGTCGCTGATCCATCTGTAACAAGGGTCAGAGGGAGTGCGAACCCCTAAACAGTCCGGACGCACCTCCTCCCAGTTGCGTGACCACAGCCCCGATTGCATCCACAGCATCACACGGCGTCCCGCAGTTCATGGCAGCAACAGCCGTGGTCTCGCAGTACGCCATCCGAGCAAAGATGGCGGCAGGCGAGAACGTGGCCCTGATGCTGCTCAGCGACACAGCAGTCGGGGCGGCATCCCGTCTGTCCAAGGAAGCCGGTGCAGCCTGAAGGAGACCCGGGACGAGCCCAGCGAGCAGAGCAAGGACGAGCATCAGACGACATCTTGGGCAGCAGTGAATCCTATATATAGTCGCAGCAGAGGGCTTCCCCGCACTGATTGTCAATCACTCATGTGGAGGGCATCCGGGGATTTCATCGCGTGGGGAAGTCTGAAACGTGCCGGGCTTCTGATTGGGCCATGCCAGTCTCATCCATGAGGTCGAAGATGGGAGGATGATGCACCATGAGCGGCACGCGACGCGGGCCAATAACCGACAATTGTCGAAGGCAGCTGCATCACCATCCGAGCGTCGATAGTAATCAGAGCAGCAGTAACACATCCAGCTGACCATGTCCGTCTGCTTCTTGTAAGATAATGGGTTGATGACCGGGTGATCGACTGCGACCGGTCAGTTGCGGACCATCAGATAGATCCGTATTTACCACGCGTATCGAAGACCAGCAGGGCCGTTTCACTTTCATCCCTCGGGGAGTATCGAGAAATTCCACCCCGCCAGCCAGGAAACGCACAGTCGACTGATGGCACTGTGAATCTTCTAGGTCGTTTCGCGAGCATTCCAGTGGGCGAGACCGGCATGCGCAACGTCGAGGCTTTCAAAACTGCATAGGATCCTGCAGGATGTGATTGCAATGGGGTTTGCGTCCGCGAACAGGCGACGGTAGCTTTATGACGGGAGTGTGAAGATCCCTCGCGTGATATGCGCATCACGACAAGGAGCAAGGCGAGAGGCTATGGAAGCAATGGATCTGGGTGCCAGCCATGATTCATGTAAATCAGACTCGCAGCGAGACAGGAAGAGTCGAAATGCGCGCCCCAGAAGATGGTGGTCGAAAGCGATGAGTGCAGAGCACCGCCACGATGGCATCTGATCTTTCCCAGACTGCCGCGTCTAATGGCATAGACATGCACATCCTGATCGCAACTAACCAGAAAATGTGCGCTGTTGGCTTTTTGGCACTTATTCCCTCAGGCTTCTCCTCGACCAGGTTTCATACATCTGAAATTTATGCTTTTGTGACTCCTGGGCTGTTTGGCAAAGTGGACCTGCCAACAAGCCATGCTGACACAATGACGGATCAGGTACACATTTCCGATCGGTCGCGAGCAACAGTTCGCAGTTTCTATGCATCGTTTTCTTGGTGAAGATCAATTCCGCTTGGGTATGATATACTCTTCCGAGCATCACACGGTTCTCGACCGAAGCTACCACGGGCTATGTGATATCATGCCCTCTCATTTCGATCGAAACGGAGACATTCTTCATTGCAAGCAAACAACTATGATCTATCTATGCACGACGATCCCGATAACGCAGTTCGCGCAGACAGTGGACCTGAGCAGGCGACGTCATCAGCATCGACGAGCAGTAATCACTCCGTTTCTGGACGCCGACCTTTACGACGAAGTCGAATCACAACCATTCCCAGTGCAGATCAGCTCTCCACCGATCATCTGGCATTTGCAGGTGAACGCCGGACTGGGGGCGGCGCTGGCGATGGTAGCGGCGACGAGGGCGACCAGAAGAGACAGATTGAAGCGCATGATTGGTTGGTGGTGGTTGCGAGGGTTGGGTGAAATACCTGGGTCTCCAAGGTCGCGAAACGGCCCATTTATACGTGGTGCTTATCAGAAGATGCGCGTAGTCGATAGTCTTGAAACACTCGCACAACGGCCTGTGCCTGGGGGCGGGAAGATGGGTATCGCCGTTTCCATGCGTTGTTAGATAGAGGAGCAGCGGACGTTCTCGCGCCGGGCTTGAATCTCCACAGGTCTACAATACCTGATCACGAGGCAAGCCATATATTCTGTGAGGCACTCACCAGCCGAATGAATTAGATCGTATGCGCCGCCCCGGCAAATCGGGACCTGTAGCGAGTGCGAATTGTATAGTCGAGCTCTGCATCTCCATCTGTGATCTGATCGACTCGACTCGTTGTTTGCCGTCGCGCCTTCAGGTGGCAAGCCGCGATACTATCGAGTTGCCCTGAGCCCAGAATGTCTAGAATGTCCACGAGAAACCGAATCAACGCTCACACAAGCGGATGGTGGAGACTCTGCTCTCCTCTGCAGAAGGCGACTTGAGCACAGCACACGAAATTGATAGCAGCGGGAGAGAGGGATATAAACCTCCCCTCATTGTCCGCGGCCCGAATGAAACGCTCGTTGAATATCCGAGACGCAGACTCCAAGTGCAACGCAGATTGGCGACATGTCTCAATTGCGACTGAGGCACAGAGCTGGTGCATTGACACTGAGTCCCCCAACGCATGAGAAAGCGTCGTGTATTAGAGACTGGAACTTGTAAGAGCGTCGGAGCACCGACAGTGAAGGACATTGCCCCCTAGCGTGTCGTTTTCTCTTGCGTGCATGATCGCTTCATATTTCAGGACAAGACATGCGATGTTGACTTCTCGAGGGCAGAGGACTATTGTCTCAAAGTGTGAGCTCTGAATATTCATGGGAGACACTGCTCCACTTCGAAACCCAGACAGAACGAAATAAAGACAAATCCCTGCTCACATTGGATTGGAATTGTGGTATGAACGCAACGAGAAGCTGCTGAGAGGCTGTTGATTTGATCAGAGAATTTCCAGGCCAGACCATGAGGATACAGAGGCCTTCGAAGATAGACAGATTTCGAATTTTCGCGGTGGATGATCTCGAACCACACATCGGCGGCAAAATGAGCGACGTAGGGGTCGAACCTACAATCTCCTGATAAACTGCTTAAGAGAACAAGTCGTAGTCAGACGCGATGCCATTTCGCCAGTCACCCTGCGAGGTTATTCTTCCCGCGTGAGTTGTGATCAGCAAAGCGTCGATGTCTTTGTGTGCCAGAGGGATGGGTAGCCAAGTCACAATCGGATGCTGCAGATTCGCAACGGATTAGCGCCAAATGGAAAGGAATAGATTGGAAGACATTCTCTTGTAATATTTCTCATCCGCGATCGCAATTGGAAAGCTCACAGTCGTACTAGGACTGGCCGCGCCATCGTGGGCTTTCGTATTCTGATCGATCACATGAATAGATCATGCTAATATTCTAGCCCGAGTCATCGCAGAGGTACTCAACGAGGATCTTCCCAACCGGGAGAGGGAGCTGGGCTAATTAGTGGTTAGCAATAGAGGGTTCTAGAGCCCGTGCACTCACGCTGACTCCACCGGAATCATGGCAATGGAGAGGCTGATATTACATATGCAACGCGGCGGCAGCATCAGTCAAAGAGTTCTCCGAGGCACAGATCGCATATTCGCAACAGCGCAAGAATCCGGATGGAACAAAGTGGTCGTTCTCTGATGGCTGTATTGCCATGCCGTCCCATATGTAATGACGCCAGCAAGGGCGTCTAGAATTTTTGTAGTGTATTAGAACGCTGTCATCCAGTTCGGCAACAGAAATACACTTGTAGTAGGCTTTAGATAATAGGCACTTGAATAGAGGAAAATACGAGAGCAGAGTGGATCGGATAGGCATTTGTGATGCACCCGCACGGGCCACACCTTCTATTGGCAAAGGCCCTTCTATCCAAGGCAGTTCAATAAGAGTGAGTCCGGCTGTAGACTGAGGTCAGCGCAGGGGTCTTTACTGTGTGCTGACGGAGTGCCTTCCGTGGCATGTGGAGAGATGCAAATGACCCCATCAATGGAACCATAGCGTCACTCGACTTGCCGCCATCAAATCCCTGGGTTGGGGATATAAAACTGACTGTGCTCCAGCTGTCATCGGCCTGATGGTCTAGTAGTATGATTCCTTGTTAGGGTTGCGGGAGTAACGTTTCGAGGAGGTCCCGGGTTCAATTCCCGGTTAGGCCCTTTTTGAAATACCCCAAATTTAAAAACTGCGCACGCTTGAAGCACATCCATCGCGATTGACTGTGTAGGGAATCCCATGACCAAAATCATTTGCTGGCTGACCCTCGAATTCACTTCGAGTGTGATATGCGCATGGGCTGTCGTTTTTTGCTCTCTCCGATCGCGTTGGCTCTTGATGTCTGGTTTAAATAAGCTCCCTTATCTTGTATTACTCATGATCCAGCTGTGAGCCATTATCGGCTCATCGAAGTACTTATTCACAACTATAGATCTTTGATCATACTCTGCTTTGATCTAGCGTCCACAACACGATCTGCATCGGACCCACGTTGGTGATAACACTTGAGTGATAAGATGCTGCCCCGCATAGGCATACTTACAGATATCGTTAAGATGATCTCTATCTTCTCTTAGATTTTTGGCACGACTTGGGATATGGCCTGTTCGATCTCTCAAGCTCATTTGTACACTTACACGGATCTCAATCGATCATATTCCCGGGGTTGCCTCAACGCGCACATCACCTGACCGTGAATTGATGGTCCCTGCCAGCACATGTATGTGGATGTGTTTGCGCATCATCATATACCACACAGCATCTCCCCCTTCCTTCGCGCTATCCACTTCAAGTCCACTCTTTTTTGCTCTCCGAGCTACAAAGCCGTTTCGATGTCTATGAACACCGCTCATACACCAGGATCCTCGACCTTCGATGCACGGCTCCACCCTCAGTCGGACCCTGTGCCAGGTGTTGACCCCTTCACAAGGGCGCCGGATTCGTCACCAGGGGTTGCATGCCCTCAGCCCGAGGAGCATTCGGGGAACAATCGTTTGGAGTGCAGTGTTCACGATGAAGATGAACGACTCGAGCCAGTCGACGATACGTCAGGTGGAGTGGAGAGTGCGGCTATGGGGCGGCGGAGAATACAAGGTGTGTACATTACCTTCTTTGTCACGTCTCCGTCGTCCTGGTTGCAGTCCAAAGAAAGACAAGTGCTAACTACCTCGTTTTGCAGGGGGCGATTACAGCGTATCGGAAGGCACCGCCACCATGGCCTCGGGCTCAGCTTCGATTTCAGCTTCTACCTCCACCAGCACGGCTGATAGTATAACGCGCCGCGTCATGCGCAGCGCTTCTATCTCCAGCAGTCTTCTCAGACGTAGCCTCAGTGTGACGCGGGATACGAAGCAGGGCAGCGCAGCCCCGACGAACGGTGCGGGTAAGTTCCGCCGCCACATCTCGAATGTCTTTGGGCGATTGAGCGCTCATGCTCATGGGAACCGGTGAGTTCCATTCCCTCTGTAGGCTCTCACGCTGACATCTTTTTTTTTCTACCCTTCCATTCAGGGCTAGAAAGCACACGAAGTAAGTGTTCCCTCTGCAGTACGCGCAGTGTCCTGATCAGCCCCAGCTCCTCCTTTGCGTCATCCAGCTCATTACCGACACTCCCTGCCGAGCTATGGATGTTGATCCTGGAGTTCTCGACCTATCCGAATCTAAGCGCCGAATCAGTTCCCCCATTGGATATCCCGTCTTCATTCCGGTCACCTGCTTTGACACCTGCCTCGCTCGGTGCCAGATTGGTATACTACCGATCTCTGATGGCACACAAACGCGCGCTGTCGCTGGTTTGCCGTGCTTGGCACGTGTATGCGCAGCCCGTGCTCTATACCTCCATATGGATCTCCCGCTCGCGGCAGGCCCGAGCCTTGGCGCAGACTCTCCTTTGCGGCGCATGTTGTCTCTCGCCGCAATCACCGCAAGCCCGGGGTGAAGGGCCGGGCCGGTTCATCCGGCGGCTGCACATCGAAACGAGCACTCTCGAGCGGTGTGACGTGGAGGACCTGCGCCGGATATTGGATTACGCACCGTGCCTGGAGGTCTACTCGGACTACCGCTCGGTGCGGAGGGTCATGGCTGGTGTCTGTATTCCGAAGAAAAAGCAGTCGACGACGCCCGATGATCTGTTCGAGTCCTTGGCCCACGGCGGTGGCCTGCGTCGGCTGAGTTGGACGAGTTACGACGATCCGACGCTTGTTGGGCTTGGGGTCGGCCTCGGGCGGGGCGTCGCTGGACAACTCGAGTACCTCGAGCTCAATTTTGTCTCGAGCACGGTATCTTCCTCGATCGCATTGACAACAGTCGTGCCCAACGCGGGGCTACAGCTTCCCGCGCTCCGGACGTTGAAAGTGACGCTGGACAACGCGACGTTCGCAGTGCTCTCGACTTGGGGTCTGCCGGCGCTGCAAAACCTGAGCGTCGTCTCCGCCGACTTCTCATATGCATCCGAAGGATTCCGGCGCTTCTTCACTGTCCATGGGAAGCGCCTGCGACAGCTCGAGCTCGGGCATGGGTACGGCGTTGCCGGCGGTAACGACGAGACGTGGGTGACCCCCCGGGGTGCGAATGGCCTGCAGCTGAGCCTTGCGGCGTGGTGCCCGGATCTGGACGAGTTCATTTGCAGCGCAGATGCGGAATGGAATTGGCAGCACCCAGACTGGATCGCGCCGCACACCCTGCTTCCCTCGCACCCGAATGTGTCGTTCATCGGCATCCGCGGGATCGACAAACGCATGTGGGAAGACCGAGGCGACGACACCTTCTTCGGGCTGCGAGAGCAGGTCGAGAGTTTACTCCGGAGAGAGGCGTTCCCAAGGCTCAAGTATGTGAGGGACATGAGCGAGGGAAGCGATCGGATGCGGAAAGGGCTTTGGGGCTCGGATTCGCATCCTGTCAGCAAACGAGAACGGCAGTCGGTCGTGAACTTCTGGGCGGGTGTTTTGAAACGATGTCGTGAGGAAGGAGTCTGGCTCGAAGAGTGGTGTGGTGTCAATATCACCAATAACACCCTCTTGAGAGCCGAGGCACATGTCAACGGACAATAACACACATATATCTACACTCATTTTCTAGCTATCTTCTTGCTTTGCGTATATACCATGTAGCCTCAAATATCAAATCTTGTCCATGCAGTTTCAGGGCACCGATGGAACAGTCCTATCGGTACAAGTATCCCATCGATCCAAGTACCGTCAATCTCAAGCCACTCGCCGGAGCTGGTGGTGGATGCTCAAACACATGACGGAGTGCCCAGAGCCCGTTCGCTCTGCTTCGGGCGTTCAGCGTTGGGATAAGTCCGTCGCCAGTACTGCCACCGGCTCGAGCTGAGGTCAGATCTTTCCATCTGACTGCAAGAGGGAGATGTTCTCGGCGGCATCTTGATCTGGGCCATGGGCGGATGCAACCCGATTTGGGAGATGAGAGTGAGGCCAGGCAGGAGCTTGCTCGAGGTCCATACGCGCAAAACACCG